TGCTCATCTTTTGAATGTTGGACACCGCGAAACCGTCTGGTTAGAGTTGTTCGATTAACACCGTACTTTTTCGCTATAGAAGAGAAATTAGGTCCTTCTTCAATCGTCAAGGATTCTAATTCTGTAATCGCTTCATCAATTGGAGCCATATTGGTTGAGATATGGCTCTTTGAAGGTGTAGGAAATGTCGGTGAAATTGTTCGTCAGGTGGGGCTGGTCGTCAGGTGATCAAATACGGTAACTTCCGTTTATCCAGAGAAAGAAGAACAATGTGATCGGTTCTTAACGTAGGGACATCAAGTAGTATTCAGGGTTGCGGGATGCCCATGGACCGAACTATGGCGGAAGAAATCAAAGCATGGAGAGAGTCAATGCTTCACGGAGTACTCCGGAGTAGTTAAAGTGAATTTGTGAATTTGCGCAGTGGCACAAATGGCTCGCCGTAGTCCAGACACAGAAAAGAACGCCCGCGGTGAAGCTTGTTTTTTCTCCACCCTTCATCTCCCTGACCTCATCACCAAGATGCTCCCGGGATTCTTGCAGAGTAGTTACGCCCGCTACAAAGCAGATACCAATAAATTTGCAACATGGCTACTTCAGACTGCCGACCAATGTGGCTATCAACCACCTGCCCTCTCTGCTACCGTTCCGACCGCGAGAAAGGGCAAACGCAAGAACATAAACAATGGCTCAGATGCAGACCCAATTCAATATAGTGCGACTACCAAAGATCTGCAAAAGCTCGCTGAGGTGGTTGCTGGTTCTGCTTTCGCTGTACCTCAGTCAGTTCTCGCCATCGCCAAACGTGCCATCAAATTGAGAAAATCAGTCACTTCCTGGTTCTTGGGCCAGGGCGAGTCCATGAACAACAAACGTCATGCTCATTTCATCACTGCACTGGAACAAATCTGCGAGGCTCTTGAATGGAAGACCAACCAATCCTCGAAGCCAGACGCGAAGCAGCCATCGCCGACTACTGAGGCCCAGAGTGACGATGCCGCTGCTGATATGTTTCTAAACAAATTTGCGGTTCTCACGGTCGAGGAACCCCAGGATACCGCGCAATCTCAACCGACCCCCGCAGATTCAAAGAAGATCGTCAAGGTGGACGTTGTTGAAGAGGACGACAATGAGGCAGTAGACGACTCATACCTTGGTCCGTTGTTCTTCAAAACCCTCTGCTTACTTCAAGACTTGAGCAATATGCGAACATTCATTTCCATCACCTGGTCGGAGTATCGTGATAATAAAATCGACCTTATGAACGCCGCCGTCGTGACTGACAGTGCTCTGCGACTTGCCGAAAATCTTGTGCAGGAGGTGGAGGCTGAGTGGCGCGATTCCCTGTCGAGGAACGAGGATAGTGTCCAGAATATTGTTTACAATCTCGCTGTTTTGACCCGCGGAATTTCTGCGGCTCCATCCACTGAGGTTGGCCTGCCATACAACAAGAACATGACTGATCTGGCGGACTGGTGCTATGTGCCAACTAAGGTCCTGCTTGAGTCTTTCGCAGACGTCCTTCAAGTCAATCATCTGCCAGTCTTTAAAAAAGGCTACTTCGGCACCTATGATCCAAAAGCAGACAGAGAGCAAATGTCTCTGGGTCAGAAGTTCAACGAAGACAAAATCATCCTTCTTTCGATTTTGCCAGAGTTTTGCATGCTTGATACATTCAAACTCCAGATGCCTACTGAGGACGCGATCACTCGAGGCCTTGTTGAGTTTGCCAAGACTCAAAAGGTTGGTCTGTGGCTCTGCTTCGTCTCCCAGGTATTCCTCGACGTTCATCATATCATGCGACACAGTACCTTGGGTGCATTTGGAGACCTCCGCATGTCTGGACTTCGCATCCAGAGGACTATCGATGATTACCTAAAACTGTCTAAAACCCACCCTCCGCCCAAATTCTGGCCAAAAGAGGGTGACGAGCAGATTCGAAGTATAAGGTCAGCCGTCGAGTCATGGATCATACAAGATCTGTTCCTAGATATTCGAGCTCGGTCTAGTCTCGACCGCATTGGCTCCCCGCCCGAAAAGCATGCACTCCTCTCGCAGCACGCTATCCTTTGCGGCTTGTTCCTGTTTAATCTCAATACTCAAATGCAATTTGTTGGCCAGCTGCTCGTCACCCAATGGTACGACGTCCAACAGCTGGCCTTCTTGCACAATCTTGTCATGAGTTATCCAATGTACAAAGACCTGAAATGGCCCGATATGGATGCATTCGTCAAGATTCATGGCGAGTCTCATATTTTCATTGGTTCGCGGCCGAAGAACGCCAGTGAATCGCTGAACAGGCTTGAGTTGGCCACAGGCATCTCATCCGCTGCCAATTTTGCGCGTGATTCCCGGAGCAAAGCATGGCATAAGCCTGATGGCAAGAATCCTCGTGTACTAAAGCCCACCACTGCAGTCGCGACCTTGTTTTTCCCCCAGTACGTTAGTGGTCCTGAGGACGATGCCGGGATTACAAACATTGATAGGATTTTGGACGAACTTTCACAAAAGTCGAAGCTTGAATCCTCCAGCAAGGAGCTTCGGAGAGCCGATCTGGAACTCATCATTACCCGAAGGTGGTCTAAAACCCACAGCATCGACATACTGCATCTTCTCGCCTTCCTGAAGACCAAGCTATTCGAAGAGGAGCCTGTCATTCTGTACAACTACTTTGGCATGCACAAACGCTCCGTCGAGTTACTCAGACTGATCAAAGCCAAAGAGCACCATAAATTTGTTCAATATTTCACGAAGGAGTACATGCCTGATGAGTCCTTCATTTCAAACATCGTCATCCTCATCCATCACGTTGCGCGAGGCTCGGCCCAGAATGCACGTCAGATGGGTTTTGGATCTGGCGGAACTAGCTTGGTGAGTCGGATCGTCATGAGCGCTGGCGACGTGATGCGAGAGTACTTGAAGAAAAATGGAGATGTGGCATGCAAAGAGCTGAGAGTGTTCTGCAAGAACAAAACTCCAATCCAAGATGATGTTGCTCGCGATACGAGCAAATCGGACGATCTGGTGTATTCTTGGCTCAACATTGGGGACGTTCTGGGTCCCAAGGGTGTGGCCTCGCTCCAAACTGGGATCCCTATAGCCTAGGCTTATGAACCCAGTGCCGCCTTAATGCCGACAACTGTCCGAACGTGCGAAAGCCCTGCTTCATGTGTTTTGTCTTCAAATTCCATAGTCTAGTCAACCCAATCTAATGGGTGTAAGGCAGAATCCGGTTTATAGCGATAACTGATCCAGGCTTACTTGAGGGTTAGAGTTGCCAAGTATCCCGATTACTCAAAGGACTTGACATCATAACTTCTGACAGGTTGCAACTAAATCCAGACGTCTCAGGATTAAAACTATGATCTTAACCGTCTCCCTCAAGCCATCACCTCGTAGCCGTAATAGCACCCCCAATTAACCCCTTCGGCCCCGGAATCTCCGGATCATCATCAACCCTCAGCCCTTTCATCAATCGCGCTAACATCGCATAAAGTCCGATAACAATCAACACCTCCACCAGCCCTGCCTCCCTCAAATGCCCCAACGCTTCCTTAACCGTCTCCTTCTCATTCTCATCCGTATACATTGCCAACTCTTCGTCCACTAATCGTAACAGTACTCTTTCGCGATCCGTTTAAGGTCACCTACCACTGACTATACCCTCGGCAGGACATCCGATGCTCTGTATCTTTTCCTGCGGCATGCCGTGGACCTCTGAGACGGGGAGGTTCACACCCCACATGTACTTGCATTCGAGGACCGTCGCGACTCGCACAACAATCAGCTGCCAGTCTAGCTCTGGCAGACTGCATTGTTTTCCGTCGGAGCAGGCGCCAACGAGGTCAGGGAGGTGGGGAGCGGAGTGAAAGAGGCATTATTGAATTTTTAACTTGTTGAAATCAGGGAGAGGTCCTGGTCCGGTTTTACATACTATCAGACTAAGTTTCCCTTTCTGCCTGATGCTCGGAGATGGTTCCGCATTGGACTTTGCCGGTTTGCCCGGTCGTAGGACAAGGACATTGTCTTGTGGATAAATTTTTATGGTTCACGTCATGGCTTGATAGGGTTTCGATCATAACGCAAGGTATACGATGGACCAAGTCGGGAAATTGGTGAGGCACGAGAGAATTTCGGGATATTATCATACAAGATGATTACAGTTTCTGGGTGGTTATTATGTGTCAGGATCGCGGTGCGATGAAGATGAGAAAGATGCTTGAATTCCTCAAGATGCAGCGTAGCTGCGAGAGAGCTATCTACTGTGTAGATCAGGTGACACACTAAACTACATTAGGAAGGAGAAGCGGTCCAACATTATGTCATTATTAAGATAACATACTTCTGTATACAAAGAATTCGAAGACTTTTTGCCCCAATTGGTTATCTACAGGGATTCGGTGTCTGTCAACCTGAATCCAGTGGGCTCACTGCCTAGTTCATGATCGAGGGGTGATACTGTACAAAAGTTAGGGTATATAATGGGCAAGGAACTCCTTATATCTCTCGATATGAAAGTAACCCAATCATCCTCCTGACTTAAATACGCAAACATGACAGTCGATGCATCTCTTGACCAGGCTCGGAGTATCAAGATCCGATGGCCCAAATTCAACATCGTGATCACAGCAATCATGACAGGAAAAAACCCGACGTTGGTCAATCTACTCTTCGACAAACTCCCCTACCGCTCGCTCCAGAGTCATGCCCTGGTCTCCGGTGACCATTTGTATCATCTCGTTCCCGCAGAACCATTGATTGTATGCGCCCCCTGTGTATAGCCTGTTTAAGAGTCTAATATGTCTTGAAGTACACTCATCCCGATCACAAAGTCCCTAACCGAGCTCTTGAGCCCGATGGAACTGTTTTTCTGTCGGGGTTCCAACACCTGGCTATTAAATATGGCACTCTGACAGAGGACTTGCCCGCAGCGCCTTGCGGATACGTAGTCCCTGGAGACATCGAAAAGCTGAAAAAAGCAGGGTCGCTTCTCTGGGAGGCGTGTAATGAGGCTTCGGATGCTATCGAGGTTATTGTCTGGGATGCTTCCGAGACGGAACCAAAGGGACATATTCCACTGGCGTTGGAGCGGACCGGCGCGACTGATAAAGTTAAGAGTCTAGTGCGTGAGATCCACAACGAGGTAAATCTCCTCCTTTGATAAAATCTCACAAATCGAGGGCTAATCATTAAAGACGGAATCCTCCTGGTCCGGGATCTCTTCTGACCTTGAAATCATCCATCAAGGCCGGGCAACGTCGCACGCTGGTTCGAAAGGCTCGTACTTCGCAACTATGGTTTTCATTAACAGCGAGATACGGGCACTTGGATATTGGATTCTCAACAATATACTAAAGACGGCAGAGACCCAGCCCCATTTCGACCTGGGGCATCTAATCAGCATGTATAGAGTGTTCGTCCCCACGCCGGCAGAATTTGTCGGCTACGTGGGAGCACATTTTCTCTGCTCGATTAATAGAAAAATTGATGTCATTTTGAAAGAGACGGTTGAGCAGATGGAAGATCAACAGGCTGCTAGAGAGGATTTTCTCGCTTTAATGAGTGCGTTGGCACAGTATGTGAATCTCTTGAATGCGCAGAATCTGCAGCTGTTTCCGTGGAATCATGGGAGTGAGTATCCTATGTATGTGGATTAATGTTCATTTTTTGGGTGTTTCCTTCGTTCGCTTTCTTTGTATCTAGGCTCAACAAATTGAAAATATATTTTGATAATAAATCTCTATCAATGCAAAGCGAAGCCCAATTCTCCAAGTCTCTTTTTAACTATACAAGGACATCCCAACCAAACATATCTCGACAACAGTAGCAAACCGAATTCTGTACACAAAACCCTCATACCACCTACTCTACTTTCTGCGCATCCCTCCCCATCACAATCGACGAATACACACCACCATCCTCGATCCCAAACTCCGCCAACGGAATATCAATCGACCCCAACGGCGCAAACCCAATCTTCTTATAAACCGGCATCCCCGCCGCCGTCGACTCCAAATACGCCTTGGCCTCGTTCCCACGCCGATCCAGCTCATCAAGCCCATATTTCAGCATCACCTTGCCCACGCCGCGGCCTTGATGCTTTGGATCCGTCGCCAGGAAATCCAGCACGAAATCGCGCGACGGATCGACGAATTGTCCGCGCAGTTTCGTGATCTGACTTCCGAAGAAGTCCATTAGTTGCTTGTTTGCGTGCGCGGGGAATGGCACGTTTGGTGATTTCGGCTTTTCTTCTTCGCTGGTTTGGTTTTCCTGTGATGTTGGCGTTTGTTGTTGGGACTGGTCCTGATCAATTGGGAATTTCCACCGCGCGTAGCCGATGATGGATGCGTCGCCGGTTAAAGTCTTGTCGACGACTTTCAGGGACGTGGTGGTCGGGTCGCGTAATTTGGAGCGCAGGGATTCGTGCATGTACTCCTTGTAGTTGGATGCGTGTTCTCGGGGAAACATGAGGATGTGGAGAGGGTCGGATTCGAAAGCTTCGAATATGATCTCGTGGATGCGCGCGGTGTCTGCTTCCGTGACGGGGAGAAGTTCGAGTGCCATTGTGCGGTTAGAGGTGTGTTTTAGATCGAACGGTTGATTCTGGTATATTTGAATTCTAAGCGGTTTGGGTTTTTTAAGACATTGTAGGTCGTGGATGAGCGAATCCGCGTATGACGCAAACGTGTGGGGCCATGAGCGTGAGGTTGAACTCATGCTCGGAATGAGATGTTTGGTGGCCATCGTGTAAAGGGAAGAAACTATATAGTAAGCATTCAGTGTGTGGTATGGGTAAGGTCTCTGCGATTGTGGTGGAAGCTCAAATGTCAGAACTATGTGCAGATGCTCTGGACACTATGTGAGTTTATACAGCAGCTGCATTCCACTGCATAGTTATGGGTAATATGACGCTCTCGGAATAAATAGTCGGAATATACATGCATGAGAATTGTGTCGGAATAAACGAAGTCTGGCCAAAATGTATTCCGATGTCTACCTTTGCCGCTCTTGAATTTTTCCATATTTTGTTCCGGACTGCTCGGAGTACTCCGAACATGTCCATGTTAGGAATCCTTTTCGGAATGTCGGAATGGAACCCGAAATGGTCAATCAATCAATGAAGATAATAATGGTACCTTTTTTATGCATTATGTACTGGCAGAAAACGGAATATTTGGCTATTTATCGTGAGGCCAGTAAATAGACGGGGCCGACTAGTTGTCTAGGGAATATGAAAATTAAAATAGTACAGAATCCCTACAGGTGCATGAGATCGGCAACGTAGAGGGTCGCGGACAGGTGTCACAACTGCCTCGTAATTCTGTCATTTGTAGTTCTCAATCGTGTCAAATGGTTCCGCAAAAAAAACTGCGGAAGAAAAAGAAATGACAAAAGAAATGACAAAAGAATTGACAAGAGTGGGATTCGAACCCACGCCCCTTTCGAGACTAGGAATATTCGTTAGAATATGGAAGATCAGATCACCTGACCCTAGCGCCTTAGACCGCTCGGCCATCTTGCCCGATTGATGAAATTCCGTAAACAGGTTTACCTATATAAAGGCCAATAAATTTACTGTTGGACAGAGGGTAACTGGGTGTGAACTTGACAATGAGAGTTGATTTCGAGAATTAAAGAGAGAAAAGGTTACCTTATGAAGAAATGAATTGTGTCCGCAATCCAAAGAAAGACGCCACATTTGAAAGACAAACTGTCAACTTACCAATGAATGAATTCTGTGCTAAATAGAGAAGACGCCAATTCTAACTACACAGAATATAAGAAAGACCCAAAAACCAAGAAAGCTGAAAACGCAGGACTCGCCAAAAGAACGGCTTAAAAAGGAATCATAAAACTAAACCCCCAAGTCCACCTAAGCCCTTACCAAGCCAGGACTTCCTTCTGTGCTCCACAGGCCAATCCCGAACAGATCTCCTCATCTTGCTCGCTGATTTTGGCGTCGGCGGGCAATTGCGGCCTCGCAGGCCAAACTTGCTGGCCCTCGTCCTTTTCCCGGTTGAAGTGCTCCGTGATGACGTCGCGGACTGTGCTTTGGAAGAAAAGCGGCGCTTTCTCGTACGTAGGGTGCAATTGGCCGTTGGTGAACACTCCGCGGTCAAGGTTCTTCTGCGCATTGTTGCACAGCACTTTGTCTTCTCCCATGACGCGCGCGTACATGTCGCTGATGAGTTTGAAGTCGGCGTCGGACGAGTTGCGGTTTCGGTAGATTTCGTAGTCCATGGAAGAGCTCCTGGGGCCTTTGGGGAGGAACTTCTGGATCATGATGAAGTGGGGTCTGGCTTTTTGTTAGACTTTGCTTTTGTGGAAAGATAAGGGGGCGGAAGTGGAACTTACGACACAACCATGGCAGATGCAGGGAAGTAGTATGTGCTTGCGGTGTAAAGACCCTTTTCGATCTGGAGCGGCGTAGATTCGCAGTGGTGCTGGATATGTCCGTCCTTGGTGTCGCTGCCGAAGGAATCGAGGTTAAGGAACTCGGGAATGTCCGCGTGCGTGGTGGGACAGTGGTAGCATTCGTTGAAGTTATCCGACAAGATCTTCCAGTTGTAGTCACCGTCCAGCTTATAGGTGTGGTCGAGGTCGTAGTCGTCAAAGTTGTAGTGCTTGTAGCGATCTTGCTTATCGACACCGTCGAAGTGTTCTTCCCAGGAGACTTCGGGCGTCTCCTTCGCGTCCAAGTTCACCCAGATGAAGCCGTTCACGTCCACCTTGACGTGGATGGGGAAGAGGCTGTTCTGGTCCTTGTCGAATTCAAGATCCTTGTAGCCGGGAGCTTTGGCCAGTTTTCCGTTCAGACCGTAAGACCAGCCGTGGTACCGACAGGCCACGATCTTCTTGTTTCCTTGGCCTTCCTCTTCGATCACCGGGTATGCGCGGTGTCGGCAGACATTGTGGAACGCGTTCACGTTGCCCTGTCGGTCACGGATCACGAAGAAGTCGAAACCCGCCATCTCATAGCGCAGCCAGTCGCCGGCCTCCTTGATCCGCGAGCTATTGGTGAGGAAGATCCATCGCTTCGAGAATATGGCGCGACGCTCGAGGTCGTACATCTCTGGCGATGTGTACCATGATGCGGGCAGAGCGCGGACGGGGGCGTCCTTTGCCGGTGCAGCGGCTTCCTCTCCTTTGTTGGAGCCGAAGCGAAGATAGTGCAGCATAGAAGACATTGTGATGTCTGGAGGAGGGAGTAACACTAAAGAGAATCTGTTCGAGGATAATTGAGGATCTGAAGATAGGAATCTCAAAGCCGTGGCAGTGACGCTTTTTTATGCCCATCCCACGGCATCGTGGGGAAACCTTGGAGATAGGCTCAGGTGGACCATGTTGATAGCATTGTTACACAATCTCTGGGTCCTCTCGTGCTGTTCCAGACCGCATCTCATGATTCTTGCCAATTTGGTGACCTCCATCATGCAGTGAAGCCCTTTGTTCGATCCACCAGACTCGTCCAAAAGCTGGCAGACGAGGATACAGCTTGTCTATGAATGGCGGGTCCATAGTTCCTTCACGCCATCAAGCTAGGGCAGTCCCCACATAACCTCGTATCTTGTAGCTGCCTAACCCCGCTTCCGCCTCCATTTCCAAGCTGCTCTCACTTTTCCTACCTGATTCGGGCCTAGTCTTGTGTCTTGTTCGAGCTTCTCCGGGATAAGGTCATTCTATGATTTGCTGGTTCACGCGAGCCCGGTACGCTAATGCAGGTCTGATTCTCTATTGTCTCGTTTGATTGGCACCAACTATCCAGAACCGGCAAGGAGAATGAGAACCCTGAGACAATCCGGGGGCTAAACTTGTCATCCTTCACTCAGTCTCGCCACTGGTCCGATGTCCTTGTATACACTTCATGCTATCATACTTGGGGGCCTATCATCTTCATTTCCCCTTGCTCTGATCTACCTGTAGTGGCGTTTTCTACATAATTTGTATGTAGTTTAAAATATTGACATTTAGGATTACCAGAGAATCTGACGAGGAATATGATTTAAAGGTGTAGACAGCCGCCACCCCGACGGCCAACTCACCGGTTATCCTCGGAAAGCAAGGAATGGCGCCCACGACGAGGTCTGAGAGTAGACTTCTCCGAAAAGACTCCACATGATGACTTCAAGGTGCTGGTGACTTTAGAGAAGTGTCTTCTGAGATTGCTGTGAATCCCAGCCTTTTCATTCGCCATGCGTTTTATTGCCGAATACAGTATAAAATACCCGGATTGATAACCCTCAGAAATGACATTCATTACATAATCCTTAATTCGCGGAAGCTGGCGGGACTGCGATAATCATGCAGCTTTGGCCTGGAAATTGGACACGGATATCTCCACGCGCAAGGGGTAGCGGGAGAGCAGCCATGCAACGACACCGTGGATTGGTTTTACCTGAAGTGTCAAACTGTTCCTGAAATTAGGCATGAGAATGTTGTATCTTGGCGACAGTAGTGGCAAATAGGAGGAGTCTGAGAGTAAGCATATTTCATGCATATTCCGGATCGGGTTTCCCCTTCCAGATAATGGATCCCGGACCAGATAGTTAGTTAGTTATGCTCAACGCTGCTGACTGAAACACTAGGCAAAAGCTCCCTCTTCTCAGCATTCCTTTTTCGGTTTGATACTACCGCCCATCTTCGAATATGTTCTAATACCACCGTCGCCCTCGGCGCCCGCCCGAAGGCATTTCCTCATACTACCCGGATATCTGGCATCTTGCAAAAATTCTCGGATGCCGCTCCGTAAAACATTCAATAGTAGGTTTGAATATCTCCAATCTGTTTTAATCGTTTACATCGCAGTCAACTAAGCCGAAGTATGGTGGCTTACTTACCCATTCTCGATCAGGACCGGCCGTATCACGAAACATCGAGACCCTTCGCCCCCGGGAACCGTATAGATCGTACACCCACATCGCTTGCAGAAACACTTCTCTTTGGAGTATCCACTTACGGTATCCGGTATCCTAAACGTAGCCAAGCGGTCATGGGGATCACAGAGGGAAACTGGCCAGCCGGGAAACTCGCAGTCTATAACGGGAAGGGCAGGAATAAGCGCTCCGGACAAATACCAATACCCCTTCTCCTATCGGTCTCGTCTGGATGCATGGTCTAGACTCACAATCTGACAAGGACTTCCCGATCCGAGGGCGCAGTGGCGACAGTAACAGCAGTATACTGCAGTTGGTTGGCCCTCCACCGTGAAGCTGATGTCGCGGCATAGGCACGCGCCGGTGTGTTTTGTGGCTGGCTCCATGCGTAAGCCCGGTATTGAGGAGTTGACGCCGTTTCGACAATGTGATTCACGGATAGCCTTTCATGAGAGCACGCAATTTCTTGGATATTCCACTCGGTCGACGGTTTGGTTGGTCCAGTATCTGGTATTCAAGTAGTTAAGGTTTTACTATCCTGAGCAGGTATGGTGAGAGGATGCTCGGCGGTTTCGATAGTCATGACTGAGGAGAGCATTCGCATTTTATTGCCGTTCCTGTAGGCCTGGTGGTAAATTCGAGGACTCCAGTCGCGTTCTCTGCCTCTGAGGTTTTGAGGAATATGTTGAACCCCAATGGATGAAGGAAGAATGATGGCCCTGGTGGAAACGGAATCTAGTCTCTGAAACACTACGCTAAGGTCTTGAACTAGCCAATGCTCTATCAACCAGTCCCTGCAATCGATTTGTAATGTTGTCAATCTCTCGCTGGAATGATAACCCTCACAGAATCGCATAATGCATACGGGCCCACTATTCAAGATAATACATTATTATCAACATGACACTTATCTTGCGTTTCCCTATCGCTTTCCCGCATGCTGATCCTGCCCTGATATCATTCATTGACACATTCTTGCCCGGACAGGCGATCAACGATCTCGGTGGCCTGATCTCAAAACGCATTGAGAGCAATTCTTGTTTTCAGAGGACAGGAAGATCGGGCGATGTGGTCATCGCCGTCGTAGTAACTAACTTAGTGCCAACGCACTTAGTCATAGTACGGTCGAGGTAGTCAACCACTAACAAAGCACAAGCAGGCAAAACGTCACGCCTGATTTGCCCGCCGGCAGATATGCAGCCAGGATCCCTGCCGGGCCTTATGTCCAACTTGCTTTTTGGATCAGCAGGCGCCGCAGCAGCCTCAGCCACCCCGCAAGCTAAACAATCGGCCATTGACCAGTGGGAGGCGCGTGAAGGGCGCTCCACATTCCCCATCCGGCGAACATTCCCGGTGATCTCACCAACGTTGCCCCTTCGGCTTTAGCGGCGCAGGGAGGAACCGGGTGACTTGCTATGGAGTATGAAATAATTCATTTCCCTCTCGTTGATGACGTCGGGGATCTTCGCCGGGAACACATGGTTCGATTCAACCTGTCGTTGCGGTATTTTCGGGGCGGGATGTCAACGTCGGGGCCGTGTATAGTCTTCTATGTTTCGATTTCTAGAATCCCGGTCACTCCCGACACCTGCAGAATGATGGCATAATGGGACATATCTCCGCATCGGAAAACTGGCTGTAGGCGACGGGAGATAGGATAGCCGGTGAACAGAAACGGGGTGAAACAGATTGTCCCCACCCGCGGATATGGGGTAGATTTTCTCCACCCAAACCCCCGCACCTTAAGCCTGATGGAGGGCTAGTAGCAGTCTAGCAGTAGCAATAGACGGTTGTAGCAGAGAGTGACTGACTGAGAGTGTCCCTCGGGGGAATTCCTGAAGGCCGCATCGGGCTGTTTGCCCGCCGGTAGGAGAGACCCCAGGAGGCCTATATAAAGATCCACTTTTCCAACTGCCCTGTTCGAGAAAAATCTCAATTGACCTCAATTCCCCTACCCGACACCATGGCTACTTCAGACCCGTCTAAATTGAAGAAAGAGGACTGCGAGATCCCAGATTATGAGGATGCTACTCACGACGCCGTCTTCGGCGAGATCACAGAAGAAGGACCTAACTACCGTAATGTGTGCACAGGGAACGCTCTATCTTGATACCCAATTGCCTCTGGTGTTCTAATCATGATCTAGGTGGGCTTTCTGGGGACCATTGTCCTCATGATGAAGACCCAAATAGGCCTGGGGGTTCTATCGATTCCCACGGCCTTTGATACCCTCGGCATGGTTCCGGGTGTGATTTGCCTCATCGCCGTTGCCTGCATCACCACATGGTCTGAGTACGTCATTGGTAAATTCAAGGTCAATCACCGTGAAGTGTACAGTATCGATGATGCTGGAGGGTTAATGTTTGGCCCATTTGGCCGCGGAATCCTCGGAGTTGTTTTCAGTCTTTGTATGTATCCTCAATTCCAGAACCCAACGCAGCCTCACTTACCAATTGATAGTCTGGATCTTTATCAACGGCTCCGGAATACTCGGTATCTCAATCAGTTTAAACGCAATTTCAACGCATGGTGCCTGTACGGCCATCTTTGTCGCTATCTCCGCCATTATAGGCTTTGCCCTGGGCAGCATCCGAACCCTCGGACGTATAACCTGGCTCGCATGGGTCGGACTCCCCAGTATCCTCACCGCAAGTACGATCGCAATCTCCCCATCCCCCCTTTCCTGACTCCTCCAGCTGCCGTAGACGCAACGGCCTGTAGAACCATCCTCTCATACATACCTCTCTCCCCCTGCAGTTCTGATCGTCACCATTGCCGTCGGCGTGCAAGACCGCCCAGCCGCAGCGCCCAAAACCGACGAGCCCTGGGTCTCCGACTTCAAGGTCGTCGGCAATCCCTCCTTCACCGAGGCCATCTCGGCCATCTCTGCTATCGTCTTCGCCTTCTCTGGCACCCCCGGCTTCTTCTCCATTGCATCTGAAATGCGTAACCCGCGCCAATACACCACCGCCCTACTCATCTGCCAGTCCGGCGTAACAACCGTATACACCATCATCGGCGTCGTGCTGTACTATTACTGCGGCTCGTATGTCTCTTCGCCCGCGCTCGGCTCGGCCGGCGGCCTCGTCAAGCAAATCTGCTACGGAATCGCCCTGCCAGGGTTAATTGTCACGACGACGATAGTCACACACGTATGATCCGATCCCGCTGCGCCTGAACATCTTAAAACCGGCTAACACTTGTCCTCGTTTGACCCCCTGCAGCTTCCCGCAAAGTACATCTTCCTGACCCTCCTCCGCGGCTCGAGGCATCTCACCACCAGCACCTGGGTGCACTGGTGTACGTGGTTCGGATGCACGCTGAGCGTCACCGTGATCGCGTATATCATCGCCAGTGCGATCCCCGTGTTCGACTCGTTGGTGTCGTTGATCGGCGCCTTGCTGGGAACGCTCATGTGCTTCCAGCCGATGGGCTGCATGTGGCTGTACGATAACTGGCATCGGAAGAAGGACGGGTCTAAACGGTGGGTTCTCATGGTTTGTTGGAGCGTGTTTGTTATCTGCGTCGGCTCGTTCCTGATGGTCGCTGGTACCTATGGCTCCGTGGTTGCGATTATGAACTCGTACAAGGAGTCCGGCGGGTCGGCGGCGTTTTCGTGTGCCGATAACTCGAACTCGGTTTGAGATGTGTAGGTAGACTATTAGAAATGAGAATGCGTGTATTGTATGACATTTGTGTTGACGAGTTGGTTAGTAGCAAGGTGTTTCGTCGGTGTTCCAATTGGATTTTAGTGAACGGGATATATTGAACAAAAAAAATCAACCAAGTATAAGAGAAAGAAAGGGAACGGAGACAATCGGAAACCCCTTCCTCGATGTGGGTAATCCCTTTGCCTGCCCTTGTTTGCCTAACCGGGCACTAACACAACGCAAAAACAGAAAAATGACCAGACTGGGGCTCGATCCCAGGACCTTATCGGTGTTAACGATACGTGATAACCAACTACACCATCCGGCCAATTATTAGAAAGCTCGTGGAAATATTGAATTATAATTCTGAGACCGAGTGTCTACACCCAATGCTATCCATATTGTCCATGTATTATTTTTGGGCTTCTACCGGCAATACTACGGGAACGGAGAGTAGCAGACCAGTTATTGAAATTATATTTTAGATCTCTTATATTATGATGTACTGAGATAATTGTTAGTCCGAATACTTGGCTTCAAGAAAATTAGAAAATATCCCTCTTCTACCAATAACATCTCGCCATTTTCCTTTATCTAATTAAAATCCGCATTCATTGAAGTTATATATAAGGCGTAAAAGAAGGTCTTTCATTATGTTAACAAACTAATTATACCAAAATTAAAACTATCCAACATCTTTAACATCTAAGCGTTTCTTTTCTTTTCTTTTCTTTTTTGCACCACTAGACCCAATTAAAGATATAGAGGAAGCCTTTTTACAAAGCGATATAACTAGATTAAACCAACCTGCTATTCCGATCCCGATTCCCGAGCACTTTAAGGTAAGATTCGCCTATTCACCAAGCCTCGGGATAATAACAGAAAGGTAATAATTGTGACGGTCTACAAAGGAGCTTAGTAAAAGACAAGTTTGTTTATGACTCGTAGTCAAGGAATTTTCCCATGGGAGGAAAGGCTATCTAGGAGGGAAGATCCAGGGCCTCTATATACTGCCTGCAGGGCATCCAGGAATGTTCCTGGATGCCTACCGGAGGGTCCCTTGATCCTATACTAACTAACCGGAACCGGAACGTTCCTCCGTACTGGGAAGCTCCTTGGCTTCAGGAGGTGACAATAATCACTTATACGAATAATCCAGTTGGTCAAAGCGGTCTCTTAATACTGATCAAGGATCTTATTCACAGGCTTTTAAGCAGTAGAGGCCTTTTTTCCTTCTTGAACGCGTCCGTATATCGTGCGGTAGGGGACCTCAAAATCACGCGCGATTTTCGCGATAGAGAGGTTTTTATTATGCTGATAGTCATGGGAGCACCTCGGATCTTCCAACAGAATAGGCTTTCAATTCATCGGATCCCCCGACAGGGGTTTAAGATCACTAGATGTGTTCTTCTGAGTAGTTTGGCTCTTGAGTAGTACGGACGAGTTCCCCGGATGGTAGGGACTCCAGCCGTAGGAGCTAAATTCGAGTTGTCATGAGCGAACGCATTGACAGACCGTACAGAACAATGCGTCCGGGATTATTTCCCTGCTGCAATGTCGTAATTACTCCAGATTAGATAACATATTCATGTGAAATTGATTCAAACGGCAAAACATAGCCTTTGCATTCACATTACAGTATAGGGAAACCTAATCTAGGAAAAACCTATACCAAGGCTCGGATCACGAGGCAAACCTCAGTTGTGATATAATATATTTGATCAATCCTGCATGCGATAGAGCAATCACCTTTCAAACACTGCCTTGTCGCTATAGCTTGAGAAACCATAATCCTCAAACTCTGGCTGTATGAATTTGCTAGCTCATGTTCCCCATTCTCACTGATGAGATCGTAAAGGCCCGTGCACTAAGAGCTCTGGTAAAACGCAATAGCTTCATTTGATACCAGCTCGGTTATAGAAACTGTTCCCGGCGCTGAATTAGCCTGCAAACAATCCGAGGGCCCGTGCCGGAAATATCATAGTTGTGGCTCTTGGCATGCCATGCTGCCGACAGGCTGAAAAGCGAAGCTAAGGTAGTGACCGCTACAGGGCTCTTCATTGTTATTTTGCTCAGTGAAATAATGGGGGTAAATAGTGGGCAGTGGTAAGGTTAACGAGCTATTTTCAAAAGTGGTTAGCATAGGTAAGCGCTTATGTGATTCAATACGTACTATTAACTAACTATAGCCGCTGTTGAACTTGGTTGACAAACTCCACCTGAGTATACAGTAAGTCACATATAGTCACCTGGCTCTTTTTTATACTTAGGATGCCTTAGAGTGCGGAATGAAAATACATAAACTCTTACATGAGAACTACTGAGTATGTAGAGCCCCCTTAACTGCAAGGTATCTTTACTGTTTTGCAGAATGACCTTGTGCTACAACAGGACTTTTTCACATATCTACTAGCGGGTTTATCGAATATCATAGGTCCGCAGGGGATTTAATTGACATTACAACACCAGTTTCGTAACTGAGTAGATAGACTAGGAGCAACAAAACGCTTTGAGGTTCCAGTATTTATTACGTGTTAGGACAGACTGATTTCCAATCTATGTATCATCTTGTTTGCCATTCGTGCTACCCGGACAAATCATACCTTGGCCGAAATTACTTCAACATTCGCTTGACATGTCGGCCCTCTGTATAATGACCATTAAACTATTTAACTATCATTTTCCGTTTCACTATGAAATATGATTTGGCGACCTCCTTTCCAGGGCGCTATCTTATAATTAGGAAAGGATAAAAATGGCATGAGCCGCAATCGTCTAGTTATCTGACTTCATCATTTGTTCAGGCATACTATAATAAACAGACTGCGCTACTTGTTGAGTATTCCGAACGTTGGAGTTGGTAGGATACGCTGTAGGACTTTTCATAGACATTTTGATTCGGCCAATAACCAGGTATTCATTGCAACAGTCCGTTTGTTCGCCCAGAGAATGATTCAATCAATCAATCAATCAAAATTCTATTAACCTGATGGAGCATCTCTTTTAGCTGCAGCTGCGAGCCGTATAATCGGTCGATCCCGCGGCCTTACTGAGCTTAGTTTAACTCCTCTTATCGCAGCCTCCTTGGCTGCCTTGTCCGCCTTTTCGTTTCCTTTTACCCCGATGTGAGAGGGGATCCAACGCAGTTCAGCATCCTCCAGGCCCTCGCTCCGCAGGGCCCTAATCCTCCCGTAGATAGCCCGCAGTGCGTACTGGCCCGATGGCCGGCCAGGGTTGCGCACGGCTTGAATAGCTGCCTGGCTATCTGAGAAGACCGTGATCGGGATAGGCTTCGCCCGATCTAGGGCCATTCGGGCCCCTTCCAACTCCCCCACGTAGACTGTAGAGTCCAGTTCCGTTCCTAGGTGCTTCCTGGCGGTTCTGCCTGCTCGAATAGAGACCGCAGCAGCTCCGATCATCCCCTGATAGCCGCTTCCATCTGTATACCAGATCTGCCGGTCCTCGCGGCAGACTCTATCGTGGGTCTGAACTGCCTCCTCTGCCCCCTCAATGATGCACCTCAGGGGCAACTCCCACGGGGCCAACACATGAGCCCGTCTGGTCTCCCACTCCTCCTGCCTGCCGCGATATGCATATAGCGGACCTGTTTTCTTCTACTTCAGTGCCTCCATCGGAGAGTATCCGGAGGCCTTGAATGCCTCTTTCGACCCTTCCCAGCGCAGCCCCCGGGGGCAGGCCATGGCCGGCCTGGTTTGGATCCGAATGGCCGTTTCCTGAATGGTTTGTTGCATCTGTATTCGCATAGGGGGGAGGTAAAGCTCTACCCCTAGCGCGGCTGAGGCCGTGTTACGAAACGCGCCACTGATAAGAACAGCTGCGCGGATTTGAATCCTCTGGAATTCATTGACCGTCTTCTGGAGCTTCTTGTAGCTGACCGTCCGGCTCGTAGGGCTATACCAGGCAGCCGCCCCGTAGAGTAGCTGGGGGACTACCACTGCCAGGTAGATGCGGCGCATGCTCAGCAGGGAGGTCCCCCAGGTCGAGCCTGAGATGCTGCGGAGGGCTTCCAAAGTCCCGTTCGCCTTGGCAAGGGCCTTAACCCTGTGAGTATCGAACGAAAGGGTCCTATCGAGCCAGATTCCTAAGTATTTGGCGTGCTCCACCGGCTTGATGATAAAGCCGGTTGCGTGGTCCTTGATGGGCAGCTGGTCGTGACCAGGGGGTTCCACTGGGGGATCCCAGTTGTCAACCTCTGGGTCCTCCCCCTGCCACGGCTCAGTATATATATATTCCTGCGGTACGGTTCGTTCTACCGCAGGGACCTGGCGAAGCGGGTTCTTGAAATGAATGAGTTCGAACTTGTCAGGGTGGCAACATCGTCAATCCACCCGTAGGAGACCTTCTTGCCTCCCTCTAGGAGGGGTGGTTGAATCCGAAGGGCCTCAATACCGTCGATCGATAGGGCGCGAATGAGGGGGGTATTAAATAGGAGGAATAGGATCGGCGATATAGGGGGCCCCTGGGGGATCCCGGTAGGGGTTAAAATAAGGTTGCTGAGATATCCGGGGAGCTGCAGCCTTGTAGAACGGTTCGATAGGAAGGATTTGAGCCAGCCGGCGAAGAAGCCGAGCCCTATCATACGTAGATTGTGGAGGAGCCGTATATGCGAGACGTTGTCGAAGGCGCCAGCCACGTCTAGGAGCAATATACTGACCTTCCGGCCCTTGCCCCAGCTCTCAAAGATCTGGTCAAGGAGCAACTGGATCAGGTGGTCGACTGAGATGCCCCTGCGGCCCCCTAGATGGCTTCTGGGTAGGAGATTACGCTCTTCCAGGGCCCAGGCGATCCGTACTGTAGCTACGGCCTCCAGGATCTTACCGAGGGTATTCAGGAGCGCTATAGGTCGGTAGGATTTGGCGAGGCGATAGTCCCGGGGGGTGTTTTACGCAGCACTACAGTAGTCGATTGCTGAAAGTATTCCGGGTTGTGCCCAAGACGCAGAGAATGATTTGTAGCGTTTACCCTACCCATCTGGCCCGTCTTACCCGTCTTACCCACCTATATTTCCATCTACGTTTAGACGTCGATAGACAAGTCTCAATCAATTGGGAACCAATTACTCGGGTCTAATTAGTCGTTCAATTTTGCCAGACAATTAATTGAGGCATCGTTCTTTTAATTGCCCGCCACATCATTCACCATCCATGGAATAACTTAACAGTGTCCTCTTTCATACTAATCTGATCGATACCATGGTAGTTAATTGTACATGGATTGAAACGCGCCAATTCCAATCATAACCTCCTATTTGAAATTATTAGTAGTAGTATCTGTACATAGCTTCTGGGTGAAATTGTCAGCGAAACGCAGCAGGGCTGGGGAAACCGTACACGCCGGCAAAGGTCCTCCCACTGAGCCAGTCATGACTCCCCTATGGCTCAGATAAAATCCCTCGGTACAGTAGACCACCGATGAGACCGCAGTGTGGCTTCACGCATTCATACATACCGAAAGGGCAGGGAGCTGCCCCCCCGCGAGCAGTCTTCCAGGTACGCTCAGGTAGCTTCGCACACGAGGTTCTTCCTGATAGATTCAATGTCCCCTGAACAGCACGTCCAATATTCAGCACTCTCGTCATTAGCAAATGATGCTTACTCCCAACGTTCTTTGCCTTGTAGTACTGTGTTGTTTAAAATAACTTTAGCGTTATTCCATGCTCCAAGGACGCTCTATTTTACTCCCAGAAACCTCCGAAATATTCCTATGAGCTCAGTTTCAATGCAGAAAGCTCATGTAGATAATTGCCCAGTCAGTGATGAGATATATAGTAGAATATAATTAGTAGCTAAGTAGGGATTAATTCTTAGGGAAAATAAGAAAAAAAAAAAAAAAAAAAACCATTCAATAGAAAAATCTACTACGTTTCAGATTTACATATATATAAACAAGCAATTGCCTATATATAGGTTTACAGCGTTTTAACACAAGATCTGCTTTATTCAGCGAAGCGCCTGCGTAGCTTGTTGTTCTAATAGATAGGCCACATCAGGTTAATGGAATCTTGATTGATTGATTGGGGTTAGTAACCCCTTCCACTCTGTTCCTTCGGGTCAGGGCTTTCACTCACACACACATCCTGTAGCGGTATTCTCTCTATTCCGACGGCTCACTCTTGCAATACCATTATCTGCCTTTCAAGCTCCTTGCGTTAACGATTGGGCCGACATGCATGGGGACTATACTGGCTAGATGCTCAGATGATCGAAGTGCGACGACGTGCGAGTATCCAATCTAGTTGTTCTTGCTCAATACCTCCGATTCAATCAGTCAGCCATCCCAATTAGCCAGCCAGCTAATTCCCGCCCCGACTTTTGGATGCATTGTGAGTCGTGGGTGTTGTATACAGTTCGGAGTCATTTGACCGGATAAGGAAGCACCACGGGCGATCGAGCCAACTCAGGTGCGTGCGTCCGGATGATTGGTTCTGGATACCGTTTCCCTTCTCAGTTCGTTGGCTTTTATGACATCTCAGATCCTCCCTACCCTCCCGGGGAACTTGGCGTGGTATCTGACCGCCGATCCCATATGCCGTACGGTGAGACTTTCCGACATGCATACGGAACAACCCACACGACAACAGATACTCCTTAGGATCGATCCCTATAATAGTCAGATTAACACCACAGATAATAGGGGAAACCCACACATGGTCCACGATCCAGGTCGAGGCCGGCCCGTTTCCCATACCAAAACATATAATCTGCGGTTGGGCCAATGCAAAGCGTCTCATCTCCAGCATCATTATCAATGTTAGTCATGTGTAATGCCGCTTGAAGCTCAGGTGGGACATCTTTCTTGAAGTAAATACTCCCAGTAGCTCCGAAAGGAATGTTGAAAAGCATTTGCTCAATCTCAACAAAAGTGGATGCGAGTGTATGCCGTTCGCGTTTGCTCATGCTCGACCACTTACTCTCTAGACCAGCACCTGGAGCCTTTTCCATAACGATATACCCTATACCGGCAGGATTGTTCTCTGAAGAGGAATACCCATACACCTTTGGCACAGGGATGCCTTTGGAATTGTACGGTAGGTCAAGGGCACAGATCATGATACGGCTGGAAGAAAGGTCTTTTAAAGATTCTGGTACTGCCAATGTGTTGATTAGCAGGGAACTTTTCTCTTGGAGGTAATTTTGCAGCGTTGGCGGAAGACCAGGTCATCTATCCGGCGGTTTTGCGACAATAAAAACGCACAGCTGCGTAAATTACAGCTGGATCGCTCATGACCCACAAAGAACTTGGTAGAATATAATGCAAGGCGGCCTGGTCAAGATACCGAGACTGGAGGACCAAGCTGGGCCCGTCTATTTCTGGAGACTGCTGCTTGACCAGCAATTGTTTAGCAGCCAGATTGTAATCATGCTAGCTGTGTAATTTTGGCGTGTCCCTGCAAGGACCCACCTAAACTTGTAAGATCGCCTGGTTGATGTCTGGTAAAATAAGATCCCCAGGTGCAATTTAAGCGATCGGCATGACCCGCATAGCGGCCAGCGGTCCGAGATCGACGCTTGGTAAAATTACAGGAAGTCGGTTGATTTGGTTCCTGATTTGGCCACGAGGTCACTCCCTTACCTACCTGTTATAGGCAACTAATGGAAGATCCAACCCTCTGGTTTACCGGATGACGAATTTACAAATGTGAGTGTACTTTACGTCTTGGAAACTTAAAACTCATTCATCCATAGTTCACTGGAAGCTTCACCAAACACCTAGTCATAGTGGGCTTAATGCACCCTGCTCAACTTAACATGCTTTTTGGAATCAATTTGGTTGGCACTCTTCAGAGGTGGGCGCTGTATATAGAAAATCAGCTCATCGGGACCAGCCACCCGCAGCCCGAAGGTGAACTCTGCCTCTGGCCGAGGTTTCCCAATTAGCTAACATAACTTCTTAAGGCAGCGATATGGATGGCGTGTCGTCCGCTGGCCCCACAGGTAGGGGTGCGAACATGAGTTGCGATGCGGATAGTCCTGTAGCGGACTCGCTACAGCAGAACACTGAAATCGCGAATGATCGAATTATTCGCCAGAGTGCGAGGCAGCGGCTAAATATCTTGGCTTCATTCAAGATGAAAACGTCACCGACCCGGTCGCGCAACGCGCCGCAAGAATGTTGCTGGTCCTAAGCTATGAGGAAATGTGTGAATCCCCTGAAAAATAGTTACCAATATCTACATGCCAGGGAGGCAGGAAAGCAACATACGCGATGAACTGCATAATTCGTGTCTACTTGAACAAGCCTTATAAGGAAACTCCAAAAGCGGACCGAGATGCCATTCATAACATCCTAAAACAAGATCGACAGTTATGGGCCGTTGCCGGTACAAATGGCATGGGTACTGTGCTCACGTGTGACGACCTCTTGATGTCTAATATGTATGTCCCCTTGTTTGCAGCCTACGCCAGTTCCTGGCTGACCTGAATCTCTAGAAAAAACAACACCATTTATAATACAGGAATTAATGCCGTTGCCAGATATGCTATTTATACCAGACCCGCAATTGTAAATTTACTCCATTCGTTGACACCCGTGCTTACATCCCTGATGTTCGGGCAAATCCACACGGGTCTTGCAGTGGCGATTCACCCATCCGGGAGCGGCGTTCTGGGGTCGTCTGCATTATCTGACACATTTAAGAAGGATGAAGCTACCTTAACATATCAAGAAATGACAGAAAATTGGCAGCTTATTGATTTGAAGCGTCGCACGTCCAGGAAAAAAGCAGAAGTTCTCGCCAATGAATCCAAAACAAAACCTGTAGATCCTATTCACGGCTTTGATACGTTCGCCGCCTTTCCGTTGGAACGAAATCATCCAGATGATGGCGACATGGTCACATCTCCATTTGATGATACGCCTCTTGCGGAAAACATTGAAAATCCTACGTGGGAAAGTTTCCTCAATAATGAAGATTTGGATCTTTTCTGCATGGATAATCTGCAGTTCGGGAAGCAGTCATGAAAAAAAGACTCTGACTCCATTTGCCCGTCCTTATGCTGCTTGCTACTACAGCCTAATATCCAAATCCGTTGCCCTCGTCTAGACAGTATTTATTTGGTTTCACTCAATATTATTGTTTTCTTGTCACTGACGCCAAATTATTTTTCTTCTCTGACATGTTTCTAATCGGTGTCAAAGCGACCTATTTTCTAAATTACATGTGCATGGAATATTAAGTGTATACGAACTTGGTCAAAACCTAGGTATGATATGGGGGATTATTCCTAGGCCGGTAGATCTAATAGTAATTAATCACTAACGCCATTGCTACAAAAGCTCAATTAACCAGGTTTGAGGGCTAGAAAGTTACACTTCGACCTTGTGGGTCTTGTGACTGGTGTGACATCCTGAGCATGCAGCAATGCCCTATACCAGGGTATTTGCATAGTTTGCACTGTTTGGTTGTTTGTCTCACACAGTGGGTTTGTTTACTGCTTCATGCAGTAAATCACTATTTTCTTCTTCTTCTTTCCTCAACCTAATGTTTCGTAACTAGCCTACAATAAAGATCATTTCTTCATTCCTGAGGTTGTCACAACTGGCCGACCAGTTCCTGGCGATTTAATCTTTCCAGTAAGACGCCTCAGTAAGAACTGCCCGGTGGTGACCCCGGGATAATGAGCAAGGATAGTTCCTCGCCAGATGCCCAATACCAAGACACTAACTGCCCTATTAGTGAACGTGTACATGGAACACCTCAATACCCCACCCCAACTCAAGTGACTCTATGCTCTTTTCACGTCCATTTCATCACTTATCATCCGTCGTCCTCTTTAATCAAAAGCCTCGCATACCCAATTTTCAACATTTGATAATTATCTTATTTCCTTTAATTCCTGTGAGCTTCGCAATATATCGCATTCATGCTGATTAAAATTAAAAAGCCTCTGATATTTTTGTTAGTGACTCATGGAAATGGCTTGGTGCAATAATTGTTACCGGTCGTTCAAGAGCCAGGAGGCTCTTGAGCAGCATATCCAAAACTCGCCGGCCCATATTCCATCATTTGATTGCTTTCTATGCAACCGGTCGTTCAAGAGTCAGGAGGCTCTTGAGCAGCACATCCAAAACTCGCCGGCCCATATTCCATCATTTGATTGCGTTCTATGCAACCGGTCATTCAAGAGCCAGGAGGCTCTTGAGCAGCACATCCAAAACTCGCCGGCCCATATTCCATCATTTGATTGCTTTCTATGCAACCGGTCGTTCAAGAGTCAGGAGGCTCTTGAGCAGCATATCCAAAACTCGCCGGCCCATTTCCCATCATTTGATTGTGATCTGTGTAAACGGTCGTTTAAGAGCCTCCTGGCTCTTGAGCAGCACATTCAATACTCTTCTGCACATCTAGCGCCTCCTAGTACACCCTTGAACCGATTTTTTCAGTCTTTTCCGCAATTTGAGTTTGACCCAAATCTGCCAGCTGCCGTTTCCTATGCACGATTGCAACAGTTTTATGGATGGAAAAGAGGTAGTGTGGACTCTGAGGAAGCCTGGACAAAATACCAAGATGCACTTCGTGAAGAATTCAGTCTCTGGTTTGGATCAGAGAATGATCTCGCTGCCTGGCATTCACTTTGTCGAGCTGTTAATCTACACCCTCTTCCTAAAACATGTTCTCAATGTAAAACGGTAATTTATCCTCACTAATTAGCTATACGCAGCGTCGAACTAACAAGTTAAATAGGCTATAAGAAAATTATACATCAATATCGTCGATTTGATTGACTGGGCCCGTGGTGGCAGGAACGTTGGGGGGATTCGACAATTCGAGAGTCTAACAGAGTTGCGTGAATATTCGAAGAAATCTCACAAAATTTTTCACAACACTCTAGACGACTCAGGTGATGGCGATGTAGTACTTCGGCATTTGCTCCGCTTTATCCACCGCCGTGTGGATAATCAGGATGAATAGTCTGCTTACAGAGCTTGTCCTTTGTTTCACAGTGTGTGCTCAAAATAGTTGACTCCGCCAGAATATTATAGCCAAACTCACAAGTAAGGAACAATGGTACCGGAGAGAAAGGAAATAACTGATAGACAAGTAGTAAAAAGGATTAGTGCAAACCTAAGCTCTGATTCCCAGTACAGTCTTAAGGGCTTGTTATAAATGTATGTGTCGAGATTAAGGAAAGACAGGCGAGCCCAATCAATTGACCAGAAGACCAGTGGCTCTTGGCTATAAGCGGATGCTAAATGGATTGTCAGAGGTTGAATAACTTACCACAATGGAATTTACTTACAAGTTTCAAGTCCTCAACTGTCACCACCGATGTACTGGCGGACAGGAACTCCACTGGTTCAGACCAACTGGCCAACGGTCAACGTTGTCGATTCCGATCGCACCGTCAGCCTTGACGTACTTCTGCATGAGCAAGCTAGTCACAGTGGTAAGGGCACTAAGAGATCGGGATTGGGATTGACCTGGCCGATGCTCCACACAGTTTTCAATAGCTGCTGTGTAATGTGTTAGCTATATGCCATGAAGTTGGCCTCATCGTGTCTGGCCTTCCGCTATTCACCATGTAATATCCCTCTCCTCCAATATTAGTCGCGCACGGTTATTCTCGGGGCGTGCAGCGGACCGAGCAGCAGTTGCGGGTAAGAGTTACTAAATATTGTATAGTTCGTCTAGATTGATACTAACGTGGGTCTAGAATTGGATCCTCATTCATACACAAGTGGTCGGTGGCTTCGGAACGATAAACATGAACGCGAGATACGTCGGATTGATTTTGATTTTGAACGTCTTTGTCAGAAGATAGTGGACCTATCCAATGATAAAAATTCGATCAGAAAATCTGAAAGAAAGAAAGGTGGAATCAACAAGGTGTTTATTTTTACAATGGACGACAACTCACGCGTTGTGGCGCGACTGCCATTCACCTTTGCTGGCCCCGCGAAACTAGCCACGGCCTCGGAGGTGGCGACGATCCAATATTGTACGCAGAAAAATATCCCAAAGATACTCAGTTCTCACTCATGATTTATGTGCAATAGTGCAAAGGAAGACCAGTATTCCGATCCCTAAAATCCTCGACTGGAGTGACGATGCAGGGAATAGTGTTGGAAGTAAATACATCATCATGGAACACGCAGCTGGTGTTCCACTACAGCAAAAATGGCCCTACCTGTCGGGGGAGCAGAAAGTTAGATGTATAGATGGCATTTACAGGAAGCTCAGGGAGATGACGGACATCAATTTCCCAGCATACGGATCTCTCTATCTTTCCACTACCCAACTGGGGTCTCTCTCTGGGCTACCGCTCGATGGCGAATTCTGCATTGGGCCTCACTGTGGAACCAGATATTGGGATGTTGGTGAGTGAAGATACTACCAGCATGCACCTCCTAACCGAGGCCCATGTGAGTATATCCCCATCCGTTAGGAGATCAGTGCTAAGACTACACATCAAGGGTTGAATATTGGCGCATATTCCGATGGTCTCGTCGACGCCGGTCTTTCAAGGGTCCCCCAAGGAACTGCCAACCTCCGAGTAAACCATCATACCATGGCTCAATCCCAACACATTTGGCCCTTCTTGAGGAAGGTCGTCGGGTGCTTGATGCGATGACTAAGGATAGTCGAGTTTGCGACGCAGCTACGCCGATTTTGTTCCGCCCTGATCTCCATAAAAGAAACATATTTGTTTCGGAGAATGACCCTTCAATCGTAACTAGTATTATTGACTGGCAGTCATCCAGCATAGAGCCGGCTTTCTGGTATGCAGATGAAGTTCCGGACTTCGCAGCCTATGCACCTTCCTCGACATCATCTACTCAGGAAGTAGTTGGCAGCGAGCTTTGTGCAAAAACATACGACGCCTGTACTCAATTTCTTATGCCAAAAGTTGCTCAACCTAGGTTAATGGATGAGAGCATGTTTCGCCCTTTTCAGTACTGCTACACAACATGGAAAGATGGCGCCGTTGCTTTCCGACATGAGCTAATCGAGATCTCTAAAGAGTGGGAGAAAATTGGAATTGCTGGCTCGTGTCCATTCGCGTACCGACAACACAAGAAATCGTTCTGCGACAGAAAGAGTACAGGCGTTTTGAGGTCGCCCAGCATCTAAAGCGTGATTTGTCAGGCTTGCTTGACTGTGCAACTGATGGATGGGTTCCTCCAGAGAACTTGGAAACAGCAAAGAGAGAAAACGAGGCAATGTTCCAGGGAATGCTGAACGCCGTGCTCATAAACGAAGATACAGAGGAAGACGAGCCGGTAAGGGATGAAAGGGACCTGAGACATTTGGCCCTTCGATCTGCCAAATGAGTAATCTTGTTGAGACGACGAAGTCCACTTACAACTCGATTCTGGTGCATCCTAGTTGCTCATCTTTGACGTGACATGCCTGCTCGTATTCAAACTCTCGGCACCCCTTCTGTCATAATTGTAATCTAACAGGGCTGGTTGGATTTAACTAGATAACCATGCTCTTCTAGAAGATAATCGAAGTAAACATAAGATCCAGATATTGGGTTAGTCGGCCCAGTTAAAGTAGGCTTAAACTACCACTGATTTCTTGGGTCACCAAGTATTCAACAAAAGCATGTCATTAATATTCCAAGACAACGCAATCACAAACATGCTACGCGTTAATCAGTACTTATGCTCCGCTCAACTTTGATCCTATCACACAATCACACCACCACCTCCTTTGCAACTCCGTCTCCCACCATATCAACAATAAAGCCTGGATAAACTGACAGAAGACCAGCTCTTATGCAGCAACTTGCAAAACCGCCCGACCAGCCAGCTGACCATTCTTCAACTTCTCAAGCCACGAGCCCAGATCTTCCAACTTCCCCTTGACCAGAACCGGCTAACATCATTAGCATGGCAAACGTAAAAGGATAGGAAAGACTTACACGAACGATTCCCCGCGCCGTGAAGTCAAGCGCCTCTTCCACGTCCTTCAAACTGCCCGTGATATTCCCAACGATATTCAGCCTCTTCAGCGCCATCAACATTGGCGCTGCGCCCGCCAGAATCGATGCATCCTTGGGCAAACCCACCACAACGACGGTTCCGTTCGGTCGCAGGAATGTCGGTGCTGTCGCATATGCCTGTTTAGTGGCCGCGGTGACAATGACGCCCTGCGCGCCATGCGTCGTGATCTTCATGATCTCGGCCGCAATATCGGCTGTTTTGGTAAAGTCAATGAATACCTCCGCTCCGAGCTTCTCGCATAGCTCTCGCTTCTGTTCTCCTCCGTCGATGGCAATCACGCGCATTCCCATCGCCCGTGCGTACTGGATTGCCAAATGGCCTAGTCCGCCTCCCGCACCGGGGAGAACAATCCACTGCCCGGGTTTCACGCCGGATCTATATTTCAATTAGCCATGATTAGCCCTAGATCCATCTCTCAACAAATCGGACTCCATGAAGGAAGATATAGAATCACCGTTTACAAGCCGTATAAGCCGTCACACCACCACACATAACCGGCCCAGCCTCCTCATCACTCACCCCATCCGGAATCCTCGAACTATAGCGCCCATCGGCAAGACAATATTCCTGAAACGTGCCGGGGGCCGAAAAGCCACTATTAATCTGATTGACGCAATGGACCTCATCGACGCCATTGAGACAGAACTCGCACTCCCCGCACGTCGCAGCGATCCACTTCACACCGGCGCGATCGCCCACTTTCCACCGTCGGTGCATGTCTTCGCCCACGGCGACCACGATCCCGGCGCCTTCGTGGCCCGCGATACCCTTCGTCTGGTCCATCATGGTGAGGCCAAAGTCTTTCCACTCGTCGTGGAGCAGCGATTTGTCAGACCCGCAGAGCCCGGTCCAGTTGATTTTGACGAGGATTTGGCCTGGACCGGGCTGGTCGATGGGGATGGATTTGATGGATGTGGTGGCCGTTTCGCCGGTTCCGTGACGGATGGCGGCGCGTTGGTGCGCTGGGAGGTCGGGGTGGATGGAGATGGTCATTGTTACTTGAGACTGGGCTTGTACGAGTCGAATATGATAGATGAAATTGACTCGGTGGTAGGAGGAGAGAAAACAAAGGTCAAGCTCGAGGGGAAAGGTAATATAAACCCCGCAAGAACTGACTAAGCGATTATTGCATGGGCTTGTTTAATTAACTGATTGCTTTTTATTGATTATATGATTGTAGAGGTATAATTATACGATTCTGCATTAACGTCAGCGGACAGTGAACTACCGGGATAGTGAGTCGCCGGCTGTCTACATTTATAGAGATATAATTATATAATTTTTTATATTTTATTATAATGATAAGATCTCTAAAATATCGTCTTCATATCATATATTTGGATAAAAATCAGACCTTGATTTATCTAATCAAGATCATATAAATTGGTCGATCCCCTCTTCGCCAAGCCCCCGAATGCCACACCCCTCTTTTTCGGTGATACACCGGTAGTACTTTTGTCTGGTGGAGTTGACTGAATTATTAGTAAATGAAGGAAGATGCAAGTAGTTATTACCTGCAGCTGCGATGGACAGGGATGTACAATGAGGTACATGAGGGGATTGTTTCATAGACGGAAATAGCTGCCGATGTCATGATTGGATTGACGCCTGCAGTAGTACGGAGTAGTATGTTTTTATATGATGCAGTCCAAGATGCAGATCTGTCTGCTATTTTGTAGCCATCTTAACATATTCATCCTATTATGCTCTCGGTTCTTGAATCTAGAAATTAAAAAACCAGATTCCATTCTTATCGATTCGAGTTTCAAATTCCAGGTAGCTGCTTCTTTAGTAAACGAATATAAATTAACTCACCTTCGATGACGGCTGTAGTGAAAATGAATTGAGGTAATATATTAATTAAAATATAAATACTATATAGAAAAAGCTTGTATTCATAGGTATTCATGATGACCCGGAATGCCTACAGCTCGAGATAGTGGCTGGCAAACAAGAGATTGCTTTACCCCCGTTGCTTAACACTCAGTTATCAGTTGGCAATTGAAGAAGATTTAAGATAGAGATGGTAATTAGAACTGTAGAATAGTTAAACTATAAAAAAAAAAAAAAACAAAGAAGATATGAGAAGAAATAGGCGGAAGGAGAAGTAATAAGAAGATATAAAATAAGATAAGGTGTAGAAAAGAAACAATGGAAAAGTAAAAGTCAACTATTTGAAAAAATCCTCCCCATTGAGAAGAAGAGAAGAAAAAAAAAAGAGAGTAACAAGGGGAGGAGAAGAATATAGACACTAATAATAGTACGGGTTCTCCTGGTCGGTCAGATCAAACACCACACTCGAATGTGGCTTTCCGCCTCCACGTTCCGGAAACTCCTTGCTAAAATCAATGGACCGATTGAACTGCAGACTTCCGTCATCGCTCAGATCAATGTACAGCGCCTTGAAGTCGGCAGGCGTGTTAATCAGTCCGAGTTCACCCGTCTGGACAAAGTAATCCGTGACGACGAGGTGTTTCTGGTCCGGCGTGACCTTGACATAATGCGGGCCAACGGTAGGCTGTTCCTCATCCGGATTATCCAGACGCTTGATATTGTTGAGATCGCTAATGTCGAGGGCTGCAATGTGGTTTGCCGTGGTGAGGGAGAGGTAGAAGAAGCGACCGTCTTGAGTGATGTCGGTGCTGCGTGTCTGTTAGCATATATAATAATGGGATGATCTTGGGGAGGCAGGATTACTAGATAGCCACCGTGTCGCGTGCTTTAGGGCCCAGGTCGTAAAGAAGTTCTGCGCGTCCTGGATTTCCGTTCTCGTCTGCCCGTCCGGGATAGATGATCCATACTTGGCCCAGATGGACTGCCGTGGCCAGAGCGGCGCCTTCGGGGTTGCCAGGGATGAACTTGACATCTTGGATACCGCCGCCCTGCGTATTGGTCAGCTTCCATTTCAACACCCCATGGATGTGGTAACTCACTTCAGGAATGGTAATCGTGTTCAGAATCTTCTTGGAATCCAAATCCCACAGACGCAGCGTATCCGCGTGCTTTATCCCCGTACTCGGGTGGAGGATACTGATCGGCTCGACAAAGTCCGAGGTCAGAATGAATTTTCTCTCCCAGTCAATGCTCAAACCGTGCGGCGAGAACTGTTCTCCGAGAATATTCAAGGTCCCCTCAACATCCTCCGGCCACTCGTGGATGATGTTGAACTCGACATCGGTCTCAATCAGACGCCCGGGAGACGTGCCGACTGCAGAGCCCATGTAGGTGATGTAGAAACCACCATCGGGTTTGGCACGAACCTCATCGGCAATCGATGCTAGGATACCACGGTTGCTCTTCTTGAACTTGGGGCGGTAGGGGTTGGAGGTGTCGAAGTAGAACCCGGTATCCTGGGGTCTCGGTTAGTGATCAGTTGAGAATTGTGGGTAATTAACTCACCTGAGTCTTAAGTAGAGAGAGAAGTCCGCCTCCAAAAAGAGTCTTCCCATCAAGGGAGGGACCTAAATGGTGGGGATCGTTGCCACTCGACGGGACATCGGTAACAAAGATGAGAGTTCCGAATGTGTCCTGTCACCATTAGCATATTCGTCCAGGCCAAGATGGCAAGATTGACTCACATCATCCAGACTGTACGTAGCCAAGAAATCTATACTTCAGTCAGACAGGAGCTGCAGGCAGTAGAATTAGCAAACTCACCCTTGTGCTCTCTATCACCCGAGCCAGTCCAGAAGTATCCGATCTTCTTGGGCTTGATCTCACTTGCGGTGAATGGGGGGCTGTCCAACGCGGGCGTCGGAACTTGTAAGATAGGAAGAGGAGGCGAAAGGTTATTTAGTGGCTCGGTCACACCCGGGATGCTGGGAATCAACGGTGGCAAGGAGAGACATTGTCCGAGGGAGACAAGGGAGGTAAAATGAACGATGCTAGACTTCATGCTGGCGGTAATGAACGTTGGTCGATCGGTTGTCGATTTGTCGCCGTGGAATAGTGAATTTTTGATGCGAAATATTGAATCAAGGTGGTTCCTTCCTCCGTTTATATATTCGTCTCTCGACATCAAAATATATCTTGCTTTTCCTGTATGCTCTGCATCTTGCATACACATATCCCACTTCACATCTCGATTCCCCTACGTAACACGAAATATTTGTATGCAATCACGCAAGATATGTTTTTTTTTTTTCAATTTGAGTTGAATATCAAGCATGCTTTCAACCGAAACGAGAACTCGATGTCTTAGATGTCGTTCGTCGGGGTTGACCAAGGAGATAAGCTACGCAAGGGGTTTTAACACAAGGATCACGCTTCCTAAACCACATAATGTCGTCGTGATTCTGGAGAAAAAGATTTCTAGTACCCTAAATCGACTAAAGCTGTAAGGTATATTGAATTGATTAGCTATCTGCTGCTCGCCGCAGCTTCATGGCATACTTAGTCTGTCAGTGGCCAAGCCAGTAGTCTTCTGTCGATTATGGCAAATATAACATCGCTCATATAGAACTATTGCCTACAAAGCTGTCTATCTGGCAAGAGAGAAACGTGATTTATTTCAGGGATACCTCTCTTCTGAAGTCTATGTATCGGTATATGACCTAGTATAGAAAGTTAGAGTCGGCAACGCGCGAACTCAAACCACAGCCAAGGCAAACAAACCAGCACGGGCGCTCTCTTCAGGAAAATTGCATGCGTCTCATGGTTTAGACTAGAAGGCTCAGTTTCTGAGTCCATTAAACAAGGAAATAAGACTTCCCAATGCCCAAAGCCGGCCAAAACAAGCTCGAAGCCTCACATTCTAATTAAGGCTACACCGATGCCGATGAAATGGCGCCATCAAATATTTGTCAATCTATCCACGCTAAATCCCAAAGAATGCTGCTTTCAGGAACCCGCATTCTGATTCTAGACCCTGATAAGCTTAGTTGCGGTATGGTACCTGACCCTGTCTTCCCGCTAGGGATGCCCTACACCCTTGATTTCGTGACTGCGCAGAATGTCGTTATACGCGGAATGGCGATTTTCCGCTGCATTTGAACCTTACTGGTGCCTCATATGCATGGACGAAGATGCATGAATGGACGGTGCCGGTTCCGGTATGAGTTTATTGAACTTTACGAGTTCGACCTGCCTGAAGTGCATGCGATAGAGCTGGCGTCAGTTAACGAGGGGATGTTGTGATAATGGATCACTGTTTTCGTGCCTCGCTAGATATTACCTGATATTATATGAATTCGCCTCGCTCTTCGCGATCTGTACTTTTTGTGAATTTTCTATCCTAGCCTGTGTCTTTCATCGCCGTCTTAACCGTCATGAAACCGACACTGCTCTTTCAGCTAATTACCTCCGTCCCATCCATTTTAGGAGCCACTATCCATGATAAGCGCTCCGGCTTTGAAGATGGCCAACCGATAGACGACACTGGAAAAGGCGCTCCCCTTTTCGGTATGCAGCCTCAAAAGCACTTCTGTGATGCTCCTCTAATCCAAACAAAACATACAGGCGGAACCAACGAGCCCTTGGACCTCCAGAACCCAGACAACCTCGGCCGTTCCTCAACGGACAACGGCTTCGTACCGAACCTGAAATGGAGTTTTTCTGACTCCAAAACCAAGATCTTCAACGGAGGCTGGTCGCGCGAGCAAGTCGTCCAGGATTTACCTTCCAGTCAGGATATTGCAGGCGCGCAGCAACATCTCAGAAAGGGGGCGATAAGAGAGTTACATTGGCATCGTACGGTATGAACAATTTTTCCATCCACCTGCTGTCTTTAGGTGAAAAGTTCAAGCGACTAACAACCAAATAGGCAGAATGGGGTTTCCTATACACAGGCTCTCTGCTTCTTTCTGGCGTCGACGAAAACGGCGGCTTCACGACCCAGAAGCTCGAAAAGGGCGATATCTGGTATTTTCCGAAGGGCGTTGCCCATAACGTGCAAGGTCTTGACGATGAGAACGAGTACCTGCTTGTCTTTGACGATGGAGATTTCGAGAAAGTCGGGTTCGTCTTCTCTTTCCCACCCCTACCCTACCTACTCCCTTCTATCCAACACCCAATAATAACAAACACAACCCCCCAAAGGACAACATTCATGCTTGACGACTGGATCACGCATACACCGCGCGACATCCTGGCCAAAAACTTCGGCGTCGACCCGTCGGTCTTCGACTCCGTACCGTCCAAATTCCCATACATCCTGAACGGCATAGTCAGCGAAGAAGCCGAAGACACGCCGCAAGGCACCCTCACGGGGAACAGCTCCTACGTGTACCGCACGTACAGCCACCCCGCTGAACCAGTTCCCGGAACAGGTGGCGTTCTACGCAAGATCGACTCGAGGAATTTTCCCATCTCGAAGACTATTGCGGCGGCTGTTGTGGAGCTCGAGCCGAAGGGGTTGAGGGAGTTGCATTGGCATCCTAATGTATGTTTACCTCCTGACTTTTCTTGATTGGGCTGGCGTGATGCTAGTGATGATGGTTTGGTGGATGCCGATATGCTAACACGATGAATGAATAGGCCGAAGAATGGCTCTACTTCCATCATGGCCAAGCACGTGCGACAGTTTTCCTCGGAGACTCGAAGGCGCGGACGTTTGACTTTCAGGCTGGTGATACGGGAGTATTTCCTGAAGATAGTGGTTAGTTTCTTCTTCATACTTTCCTTTTGTGTCCCTGCTCTCTCGGCGTTCTTGTTCTGTCTATGATGAACATTCTAACCAAAAGCGTGTAGGCCACTATATCGAAAACACCTCCGACAATGAGAAACTCATCTGGATCGAGATCTACAAGAGTGATCGCGTAGCCGACATCTCACTTGCGCAGTGGCTTGCCCTAACGCCAGCAGATGTAGTGGCTCAGACACTAAAGGTGGATATCGAGGTCGTGAAGAGGATTAAGAAGGAGAAGCAGACGTTTGTGGCGGGGGATTGATCTTGTCTGCTAGTTTGTAGTGCATTGTCTTCTTTTTCGGTTGGTACGAACGAAACCCGCGTGGGATAATATTTGAAGATATGTGTTCAATGTAATGCTTACTGTGATTTCTAGCAAGAGGATGTCTCTTGGTCACTTTGTCAGTTGAGCTCAATGTTTGATACTTCAGGAGTCCTCAGCAATCTACGTTACATGATAGTGCTTCTTAGGAACACACTCACTTTTAATATGTGGCATAAATAACAACCAATAATTATTTTATTTGACTCTGATATGGATATACTATTAGTCAGGTGGGGTATACTGAACATATCTCAAGGCATTTGCGAATAATAGGATTTCCAACTTATCAAAGCAAGTTATAAAAGACAACAAAATCAGGTTCATTCCCCAATATAAGTTATCTAGGTCTATATTATTCACTACGACCAAGTTATTCCCTACGCTACAGGACGAGAATACAACTACTAAGAGTCAAACAATGCAGAGCAATGAGAAATGTCCAGAAAATTCTTGCAAATCCTCCCGCACATTATAAGTTGCTAAGATATATATAGCTACCATACTGTGACACAAGGGCACGGATAATCAGCAGCTAACAATGGTCACTGACAATATACCTTCTACCCACGTATCAAACTGTCGCTCTGATATTACATTTGCACTTCTACTGCTCTCTGATATTCAAAGATGGGTTGAAATGAAGTAATTCTCCTAGGGAACGGGGACCATCATGTGATCGGAGAACCTTCCGAGGATGTTTGCCATGGCGTTATCGCCTTACGTAATCCGGCTTATCGGCGATCCTTCTCGACCGTCGATCAAAACAATCGAGTCATTCCTCCATCAACCACCATCCATCTTCGCAATAATGACCGGCTCTCTCATGGCAGCGGCCCTCCTGATGGGAGGCGCCTCTGCAGCTCAACTTCCTCTCATCCAGCCCTCCCAGATTCCCCAATCCCCTCAATTCCCGATCCCAGCGGGTGAGAAACCGCTAGTCAGCTCCGACGCCCTACAGGAGCAGATCGATCCGACCAGACTGCTCCAGCGAGCCAAGACCCTCTACCACATTGCTGAGCAAGGCTTCGATGAATTCAACCACCCGACTCGAGTGATTGGCAGTAGAGGTATGCTCTAGACTCTGTCTTCCGTCTTCTTCGCCTCATCCCTTGCATTCCCGTCCTAATACATACCAGGCCATCTTGCGACCTTGGACTACATCTACTCGACCATCATCGGCCTAGGCGACTACTATACCATCTCAAACCAATCTTTCCCCGCTGTCACGGGCAATGTATTCGAATCGCGTCTCGTGCTGGGTCATGAGGTGCCAGAATCGGCTCATCCGATGGGCCTGACGCCCGGCACGAAGAACAAGCAGCCTGTTTACGGACCCCTGAAGCTTGTCGCCAACCACGGCTGCGAGAAGTCCGACTATCCAGACCTCACCGGTGCAATTGCCCTGGTCAGCCGCGGTACTTGTCCTTTCGGCACAAAGTCCGAGCTGTCCGGACAGGCCGGCGCCGTCGCCGCCGTGGTGTATAACAATGAGAAGGGCGACCTCAGCGGCACCCTGGGGACTCCGTCGCCTGACCACGTCGCGACATTCGGGATCTCGGATGCCGATGCGGCGCCTTTTATCAAGCAGCTGAAAGAGGGCAAGAAGGTGGACTCGATTGCCTACATGGACGCCACCGTCGATACGATCTCCACCACCAACATCATCGCACAGACCACGGGCGGAGATCCCGAGAACTGTGTCATGCTGGGCGGCCACAGTGACAGCGTGCTCGAGGGGCCTGGGATCAACGATGACGGATCCGGGTCGCTGACTCTGCTGGAAGTCGCGACGCACCTGAGCCAGTTCGACGTGAACAACTGCGTGCGGTTCGCCTGGTGGGCTGCCGAGGAAGAAGGCCTGCTCGGTTCGGACTACTACGTGTCAGTCCTGAATAAGACCGAGAATTTGAAGATTCGTCTGTTCATGGACTATGACATGTTGGCGTCGCCCAACTTCGCCTACCAGGTGTACAATGCCACTAATGCCGTCAACCCGACCGGATCGGAGGAACTCCGCGATCTGTACACGGACTTTTACGAGGACCATGGCGTCAACTTCACGTATATCCCGTTTGACGGCCGCAGCGACTACGATGCGTTCATTCGCAACGGCATCCCCGGCGGCGGAATCGCGACGGGAGCCGAGGGCGTCAAGACCAAAGAAGAGCAGGCGATGTTTGGTGGTGTCGCAGGCGACTGGTTTGATCCCTGCTATCATCAGATCTGTGACACTGTGGACAACTTGAACCTGACCGCTTGGGAGTTGAACACGAAGGTATGTTACTTGATTTACCGTAATAAGTTGGAATTCAAACTAATGGTGTATGACAGCTGGTTGCCCATACAGTGGCTACGTTCGCACGCTCCTTCGAGGGTTTCCCCGAGCGATCGACCTTGGAGAGCACTTCCGTTGAGCGCGAGGAGTTCAAATACCACGGGCATAAGCTGCAGATGTAAACGTTCGATCCTAATTTTTTTTTTTCGGTTGTGATATCTATTTTCGGGACATCTAGATTGTACGTAGTAGTTATAGGGGATGTGTTGATTATATCATACTTGGCTAGTTAATACAATATCTAAAGAGTACAAAGGCAAGTACTGCTTAACACGGTCTTCCGCGGCCTTCTCTCCCGTACTTCTCCTGCTTATTACATTTTCCCGTAATCTACTTGCTCTCCTTTTTCTACTTTGCTACAAATACTCGAGCCTTAGGCACAAATACCTCTTATAGATGTCATGAACCGATCATTTACTGCTCTACACTACTTCTGCTTCGGAGTTCTAGTATCCCGACTTGTACATGACCAGCTAGCAATGTATACCATTGTTTGTATAGAACCAGCCTAGTTCAAAGCTGCACCTAAAGTTCCACCGTCACCTACACACAGAAGTACCTCCCTTCTCCCTTCGCCCTGTCTCTTCAAGCACCTGACCATAATCTTCAAATCCCCGTTCCCAACGGCTTCTCAGCCCTCGCCAAAGTCATAAACCCCTCATTCTCGGTCTTGCGCGTACTCTGCGAAACAGACTTCGCAGCCTCAGCCACCGACCCTCCGAGTGCTCCCTTCACACCATTCAAGAAGCCCCCATTCGCAAACACCTGACTCGCATCCCAGATCATCACGCCCCCAAAGCTGCTAAACTGTTTCACATAGCCAATGATCTCCTTCACCCTGTCCAAAGACTGGTACCCAGACCCCGCAGCACCAGTATTCCCAGGGATGCCCAGGAAGACCTTCACTTTGCTGTTCCGGGAGGTACTCTTAGCCCAGTTATCCCACGTCGCGAAGTTGAAGTTATTCTGCGTCGATGACCCAGGCACGTATGATTGCAGACCACAGTAGTTATTGTAGAACTGGATCCAGATGGCGTCGAAGGCGACCGCGCCATTAAGCATCGCATTATTAGCGGCGTCCGGGTACGGGCATTGCGGGGCGGCAGTGAGATAGTAAGATTTGCTAGAATCTTTAGCGTACAGAGAACGGAGCTGGTTAGCGAATGCAGGCATGTTGTTGACGGTGGCTTCGAAGTCGAGATCGAAGCCGTCGATCACGGCGTTGCCGAAAGGACGCGATGCAGCGCTGTTGCTGACGGGACCGAAGGTCTCCCAGAGGAGTTGCGCGCCAGAGATGGCGGCCGCTTCGCTGGAGAAACCGCCTTCGGTGTAGGTGGCGCCGCCGATGGAGAGGAGGATAGTTTTGCCGGCTTTTTGGCAATCTTGGATGTCTTCGCTTTTCGTTCATAATGGAGGTTAGTTCATGCAGTTTCGGTGGGATGGGGACGGGGGAAGAAACGCACGCGATCTGAGGACAGTTCAGGAGAGAAGTCCCTGGGAAGGTAGTGCAGTTGTTCCCGGCATTGGCGAAATTGACTTCGGGGACTCCTCCGGCGCCGTTGATCCTGGTCAGGAAGGAGATTTGAAAGACCTATGCTATTAGACTTGAGCGATTCCAAATATTGACGGATAACACACATCGATGTCACTGTCTGTGAAAGCCATGTTAAACACTGTAGAAGTTGGCCTGCAAGAGGATCACTTACTCTGACAATAATAGGACAGACGCTGCTGCACATATTCACCAGTCGACTGTCCGTAGGAGTTCTGACCTGTAATACATCAGCGTCTCCACAGCAAAGATCCAAGCAAAGAGTAAAGACAAACCCCAGTAAACAGCAACATTGCTCGCAGAGTTCAGATTGAGTCCCGCCCGCACCCCTTGCAGCAGCGGGAAGACGATCGAAAGCACTTTCAGGGCATTGACAGGCGACATGGCAGCAGTGGTTCGCGATAAGCTATGTAGTATATCCTCCGCTCTGAGTTGATCGGATCGGATCGAATCTCCCATACCGCAGGCAATCGCCCCCCTTAAATACACTCAATTCAAACAATAGCACCAAGACCGAATGGTAAAAGCGCCGGCGCCATCATCCACCTCAGTCACACTTCCGGAGAGAGGCCAGCGATAACATTCCATCCTCATCGGCGAGGAATGTAACACTCCGGAGGGACATCCAACCCAACCTGTTAGGATCGAAGCACAATCCCACCGTCGCGAACCCAAATGTCAGGGGGGACGAACGGGACGAACGGGGCGGGCAGACGGATAGGCAGCGTAACTCTCGCCGACTGCAAACGCAAGCTTAGACTGTGAAGAATGCACGAAGTACCGAGTAACTAGTGGGAGAAAGGCCCATCCGCGTGGTCGGGATCGGCACGCAGATGATCGTATCAGGCTGGTCACTAACCCCAGTCGCTACAAGGATATAGCGGGGGAAGTGTTACACAGCGCTTGCATGTCGAACCATGTATCCTATCCTCGTGGCAGAGGAGAAAACCAGCCGAGGTGTTTCCGATGGTTACATTTCGCAAACTAAGTTGGCGTGGTTGACGGGAGGGACAAGGGGGAACTGACGGACTCCGGCTTAGGGTTACGTGGAAGGGAAAAGGGGATTTCTGCAGCGGCATGCAGTGGCGTCGACTGGGCCTCACCATTGGCGCGACGATACTCTCCGGGTGCTACCAGCGGGATTTCCTTGGGAAGGGGAAGGGTAGCTGGTCATAATGCATATCATGCACGGCGGATGCAGTGTTCTGCACATGCAGTGGGAGATGTAACCGTTCTATCTTCAAGGCCAATCATACTGCTTTCAAGAGGGTGTTGTTGGTGATAACGCCAGGATGCCGCAGAGATCCATTGCTCATGGCTTCAATCACTTGAGGCGTCATCCTCGAAGCGAATTTGGCCGACGAGACTGCGGAGGATGGTGACCCTGAGAGGTGTCATGACTTCTCTCTTGCACCGGTAGCATGCGTATAGAGTTGTCTCCACCTCCGCATTCATGGACTGCCCTGACTGTCTGCCATGCCCTTAGTTCACCTTAGCTGAAGATTTCCGTGGATTTCCCGCGCAGAGACTGGTCGAGATGGCCTTAGTCAGCGGCATATAGTCCGCCAAGTTGATATCGCGATGCTACCGTGATGCCTCGTGGTCGAGCCCAAATGAATGAATGCTCCGTACTATCTACGAACAACCCTCGCTTCCATTATCTTCCACTGTCCTCCGTAGTTCCTCTGAGATCATACTCCGTCTGTTCTCTGTATCTGTGCCTGCTCCAGAAAACTTCAACTGTGGATCTGGTGGAGCCCTCATCCGCCCCCATGATAGGACTCGGACAGTGTCCGAAAAACACGCCGCGTGGAGAAAACCCCATCAGTGATGCGATGGCGAATCCCGATGTCGCAACCGGCCTGTAAAAAAGCTAAAAAAAACTCCGTGCTGGATCGCCGCCAAGTTGTCAACAACCTCCAGTTGCCCTCTCGGACAGACATCTCACCCCCTCTGCTCGGATACGGTTACCGGCTTGCTTGCATGAGCACCGCTTGGACATCATGATCTCCGAGAAGACTGATGATCAGGTCCAGCCACCGTACCGCGGGGCCTACGCGGACGATGATATCCCCGCGTCGAAAGAGGAGGTGCAGCTGAACGTGGGTGGCCGCGGTGCTACGCAGCGACGCCTGAAGAACTACCAGGTCAACATGATCGGGTTCTGCGGCGGCATTGGCACAGGTTTGTTCGTGGGAACCGGCTCTGCCTACGCCACCGCGGGTCCGGCAGGCCTGCTGCTGGCGTACCTAGTGGTGGGATTGGTGTTGTGGTGTGTGATGCAGAGCATCGCCGAGCTGGCTACGTTGCTGCCCACCGCAGGCTCGTTCCCCCACTGGGCCACTCGGTTTATTGACCCGGCTGTCGGCTTCTCCCTGGCTATTTCCTATGGGTACTGCTATACGATCGCCATCGCCTCGGAAGTGTCGGCTGCCGCCGTCATCGTTTCTTTCTGGACAGACATCACGCCCGCCGTGGTCATCACCGTCGGCCTGGTCTTGATTCTAGCGATTAACCTCATGAGCGTGCGCTTCTACGGCGAGACCGAGGTCGTTGCAGGCGCCATCAAGATCCTTTGTTTCCTCGGTCTGGTGATTGTGTCCATCGTCATCACCTCCGGCGGTGGTCCCAACCACGAGACCATCGGGTTCCGCTACTGGCACAACCCGGGACCTTGGACGAACTACAACGGCATCACGGGCCCCAAGGGTCATTTTCTCGGTTTCCTCTCGTCGTTTGTGAACGCCTCGTTCAGTTTCGTCGGCGTCGAGACGGTTGTTATTACCGCCGCCGAATCGGTCGACCCGCACTATGCCATTCCCAAGGCCGCGCGCCGCGTCACTTTCCGCATCGCTTTCTTCTACGTCCTGGGCGCGCTGCTGATCGGTCTCATCGTGGATCCCCGCAACGCGGCACTCGTTTCGGGCTCCGACAATGCCAACAGTGCCCCCTGGGTTATTGCTATCCGAGAGGCGGGCATCAGCGCCCTGCCGTCCATCGTAAACGCCTGCATTCTGGTCTCAGCCTGGTCCGCCGGTAACTCGTATTGCTGGGTCGGTTCGCGTATGATCCTCGCCATGACGACGGATCGTCAGCTCCCACAGGTCTTTGGCCGGGTCACCAAAAACGGCGTACCTTACGTGGCGGTCATCGCGTCCTGGCTGTTTGGGCCCCTGGCATATCTGAGTAAGTAGATTAGAAGCTCTCATCTTTGAAGCCCCGGTTGCTGATCAGCATGGTTTAGGTCTCGGCTCAGGCGGCGCCTCGCAAGCGTTCACCTGGCTGCTGAATCTTAGCACCGTCGCCGGTTTGATCGCCTGGGCGACGCTCTGCTTCTGTTATATCCGATTTTATGCCGGACTCAAGGCGCAGGGAGTCAGCCGCAGCTCGCTGCCCTGGATGGCTCCGCTGCAGCCGTATGCCGCCTGGTTCGGGTTCATCGGATCGACAATCATCACCCTAGTCGCCGGCTTCCCGGTATTTCTGAAAGGAAATTGGAACACGTCCGACTTCTTTGCTTCCTACATTGGCATTCCCATCTTCATCGTGCCCATCATTGGCTGGAAACTCATCCATAAAACCAAGGTTCGTCGTCCTCTCCGTGCAAGAGAGTTTTCCCCATTCTGACCATGTCAGTTCATTCGCGCCTCCAACATCGATCTATGGTCTGGTCGACTGCAGGAAGGCGAAATAATCGAGCACACCACCCCTCCGACTAGTGCCTTGGGACGCTTCGTGAACTGGCTCTTCTGATCTCCGAATCACCGTGTCCAGATTTGTATATTGACCTATGCTAGCCCATTCTGTATATAGATGCATATCTAGTCGGTCCCGAACTGCTCTCCTAGCTTTTTAATGTCGTAGTGCGATGCCTTGCAGCATCCGCCCACCAGGTAGGATTTGAATTGACCCTTGGCGCGAGCATCCCGTACGACCTGCGCTAGCTGTACTTCCCAAGGACGCTGCGGTTGTTAGGACATGTAGAATGAGGGGGTTGAGTGAACATACCGAATCATGGCCGGCGTTCTCCTTCTTTTCCCAAACCTGCGTTGTAGTATTGTAGACTTCTCCGTTCGTGCCATCCGGGTAAAGCACAAGACTAGGCGCATCCAAGATCTGGCCAGCAGTGCGCATCTCGGTGACGCTGTCTCCGAATTTCTCGACCAACCCGGCCAATTTGTGGATTTTGGTGCAATTGATACCAACACTCCACGGTGTCGCCCCACCGTCGACCTCTCCCAATGCTGCCTGAACGACCTGCTGGACGCTACTTCCATCGGGCAGCGTATCCGTTTCCCCGGGAAAGACACAGGCGATCCAGAACGGAGCCGTGATGCCGGCCGCGCGAACTGCTCGTCTGACAGCCCGAACCTCATCTAGCCTAGGTAGGGTCTCAAACGTCACATATTGCACACGAGGAATCAAATCCGCCTCGACAAACAGCTGCAACCGCTCCAGATGCCACCGGAACAGGCCCTCCTCGCTATCATGTTCGGCATCGTAGGCTCCGCTATACTCCTGGCCAGGAATCATGCAGGCGCCGTAAGGGCCCAGACTCAGCGCGATTCTGGCGCGATCGGTCTTGGCTTTCTCGGCGACTTCGACGGCGGTGCGCAGGAATGTGGGGATAGCATGGCGGGGAATGCCGTCGGGGTATTCGAGGGTTTTAGTGCGCGCAAACCCTTCGACAGAAACTTGGTAGGTTGCGGTCAATAGCACGTCGACATTGGCGGCCACGAAGTCGCGCTGGCAGGAGAGGAGGGTGGAGGGGTCGGAGACGATCATATGGGAGGACCAAAGAGGGGTGGTAGCGGAGTCGAATTTCACGCCGTAGTGGTCTTGGAGGGATGTTCCCAGACCGCCATCTAGCAATTGGACTGCCATTTTTTCGATGCGTACAGAGTCAAAAGGGGAGACCGAGAGGACGAGGAGGGATGAGATCAAGCCGGAGAGGGAGACGGAGAGATCAACAGTGCGAAAGAGAGTCCGCAGTGGGAAACGATGCCGGTCACGTGGACGCGGCGATATCGGCCACCGCTCGACTCACCGCCTGCGCCGGGGGGTCTTCGGAGATTTGAAGTTATTCCTTTCCATCCTTTCCATCGCCAGTTCCATCCTCATCCAAAAGGACGAAAGCTGATCCGAAGGAGAACCCCTCATCTATCGGACTCAATTAAGGGGCTCGCCCTGTATCAGCCCGCAGGATCCGTGAATCAGGCAGGGGCATTTTCGCCGTCGTCTCGAGGTCAGCCTGGATACAGACTCACCCACTGTCTCGTACTGACAGCTACCGGCGCCTTGACTCGCAAATCAAGCTAGATGACTTCTTAAGTTAAAGAGCGTTCAATGTATTTCAAATCCCAGGCCGTCAACCGCCGAAGAGTGGGGATGTGAAACAAACCCACTAGCTTAGCCAGGCGCTCTGTCTCATGCTGTCTTGCCTTCATATCAATTTGATGTATTAAGGGTCTCGCCATGCCCATCGTGAAACACGCTGCCAAAATTCTCCGCTGCTTGGCATGAATCAAACTACTCTACTTGATCCTCTTCTGGCAAGAAATACGAAGTTCCGGATTGCCGTACCTGCTACCATGCCCACTTCCTCTGGACTATCCATGAATTATTGATTATGGGTCTCTCATCGACCCATTTCCACCTACCTGGACAAGAGCCTAAACAGACTAACCACGGAGTGACAACGGAGCGCCATGCCCTCCCTACCGTAACTGCCGACCATATATAAACGTCGATCTCGTCGATCCAGAAACAGCTCCTCAGCAGACCATACATTGCCAATTGCAACCCTACCTTTCGTTCTTTTTCCCTTCTTTTTCGTTCTTTCATTCATTTTACAGACCACCCACCATGCGCGGGGCATTCATTACTTCCATCCTGTCGATCGCGCTGGGCGCGACCGCAGCTTTGACTGAATCCAACCTTTCCAAGCACCCGGATGTGCTGACCCTCAGCAAGTCCTTCAACCCGGTCAAGGACGCCTACTGGACCGGATACCCTCACCACCGACGCACGCCCTTCGCCGTCTCCCCCAACGGAAAGTCCGCCTACGTGGCGTACCTGGATGAGAGTGAGACGGATGTGCATGTGCAGGAGCTGGATCCCAGCACCTTCAAGGCGACGGGAACGGCGGTGACCGTCACGGGCGGAAAGGAGGGTAAGCTCTCATTCCCATAGCGTGTAGTATCCGGCGGGTTATAGTTGCAGAAGGTACTGACACATGTTAAGCCGGTGGTCTCGTCGCTCACAATGACGGTTTCGCTCTGCTCACCAACGAGGCCATGCCCTCTGGCACCACCAACGCTCCCCCCAGCGACACCCCCGTGGCTGTGCTGTACCGCTACACCGAGGGCAAGCAGACCTGGAAGACCTGGCTCGGCGGACCCGATGTCCACGCCTCTGAGGGTCTTGCTGCCTCCCCCGACATGAACGGTGACCTGGTCTACTCCGAGAAGGCAGGTCTCTACGGCGCCTACATCGTAGTGACCGACTACTCCGGTGACGCCTCCGGCCACTTCGGCGACAGCATCGAGTACGTCTCCAAGGACGGCACGCTCAAGACCATCTCCGGCGCAAGCAGCGCCTGGGGATGCAGCCACAACACCGGTATCGCCTTCGAGGAGGCTGACGAGGCCCCCTTCGCCAGTATCTGTGCCGAGGACCAGGGTGCCATCTGGCTGAACACCAAGACCCAGGGCATGACCACCGACGGCGTCAAGATCTCCAACGAGAACACCACCAACGGTGCCGGCGGTGAGGCTATGGGCGGTATGTCCGGCTCTTACAGCGCGCTGGCCCGCTTCGCCGACACCGGCCGCTACATCTTCTCCTGGGTCTCCCGTGGCGCCGTCGACGTGACCGAGAACGAGTGGATGGGGTCCGGATACACCAACGTCCAGAACCGCACCAACGGCCGCAACGTCGCCATCTCCCTGTTCTCCGACAAGTATACCAAGGTCGGCAAGCAGGCTACCTCCGAGGTCGGCTCTGAGGACGGCGACAGCCAGGTCACCTGGTTGACCGAGGGCTCCAACGACTGCTCCAACGCCCACGCCGCCACCTTTAGCAAGGACTCCGCCCTCATCACCTGGGAGGAGATCTCCAACCCCACCTGTGACTTCATCGCCATGGGCTGCCGTGGCGAGTTCGCCGGCACTTTCTACCAGCAGGTCGACTCCGAGGGTAAGAAGGTCGGCAGCGCCCTGAAGAGCGAGGATACCTACGTCGCCGGTGACATGGTCACCATGAGCGATGGCCGTATCTGCTGGCCCTACGTCAAGATGGACTGGGATCTGTCCCAGGCCGTGAACACCTACGGTGGATCCTCCTCCACCTCCAGCACCAAGTCGCTCAGCTTCGCCTGTCTGTCTCTGTCTGGATCTTCCTCTTCCTCCTCGTCCTCCTCTTCGTCCACCACCAAGAAGGCCGCCGCCTCTGCCGCCACCACCTCCGCCAAGTCCCAGGCCACCACCCTGCAGACCAAGGCCAAGGCCGTCGCCCAGACCACCACCGCCGCCGCCGCCGCTGCTCAGCAGAGCTCCGCTACCGAGGAGGTGAACACCAGCGTTGGCCAGGTCTCCCCCATTGAGGCCACCACCGCCGCTCAGGAGGACAATGCCGCCCAGCAGACCACCGTCGAGGCCGCCCAACCCACAGTCGGCGTTGTCCAGGAGCAGGAGACCACTGCCGCTGCCCAGGCCACTGGTGGCTGGCGTCACCGTCACCACGGCTGGAAGCCCTGGTACCCCCAGGGTCAGGCCCAGGCCCAGCCCCAGGGTACTTGCCAGTTTTCTAACTAAGTGCACCGGGAATTGGATAGATGGTCGGGATGTCAAGATCAGGAGGGTTTGTATATAACTATATAATCTTACTAAACCATTTATCTACTCTTTCACTATTATTGAAATATTTTGCCTATAAAACCGATTCTTGTAAAAGGCCAGTTGCACTAGATAACCCATCCCTAGATAGTCCAAAGTAGATCTATCTACCCACTAACCTAACTCTATACGATAATTCAATTCACATCATCACAATCCGTCCCCCCAATCACCCCACCCCACCTCTCCAACATCTCCCTCTCCCTCTCCAAACTCTCCCCAATAAACCCAATCGCATCCCTTCCCACCGCCAACCTCGCAGGCAACGCCTCCCCCTTCTCCTTCAGCTCCTTAAACCGCCCCGTCTTTGTCAACGCCTCATACATAACCCGGGCCCCCTTCCCCGGATCCCCCGGCTGACGTCCACTATAAGCCCTCAATGCCTCCCTCATCTCCCTCGTTGCAGCCGAATCCACTACCTCCTCCCCATTCCCCTTCTCCTCGCCCTGCTCCCTCCCAATGGCCTTAACAGAATGCGCCTCCGCCAAAAACCCCGTCCGGAAATACCCAGGCTCGATGCAAACCACGTCGATCCCGAACTCCTTCAGTTCCGCCTTCAGGGTCTCCGTGTATATCGCGACGGCGGCTTTACTAGCACAATAAAGCCCCGTGGCAGGATAACCGGTCCACGCGCCGATGGAGCCAAGGGAGGCGATTGTGCCCGCGCGACGAGCGCGCATGGAGGGTGTGACGGCGCGAACGAGCCGGATCTGGCTGAAGAGGTTGACGGAGAATTGGGCTGTGATTTCTTCGTCAGTGGCTTCTTCGATGGTGGAGGTGAGGATGTAGCCGGCGTTGTTGACGAGGATGTCGATGGGTCCGTATGTGGTGGTGATGGTGTCGAGGAGGGTTGTGAGGTCGCTGGCTGAGGCGGTGGTTGGGTCGAGTTGGTAGGGGATGATGTGTGGGTGGGCGTTTGCGAGGGAGGAGGCTAGTTTGTTGGGGTCTCGCGTGAGGGCGATCACGGTGTCGCCGTGGGATGAGGCTGTGAGGGCGAGTTGGAGGCCGAGGCCGCTGGAAGAGCCTGTGATGAGCCAGATGCGTCCATGTTCGTGGGACATGGTGGAGTATGTATGTCTGTGTAGCTATGTTGGAGTGTGCACGATGGCTAGCTTTCAACAAGAGTGAGGGTTATCTGTGGCCGAATTGCCCGGTCCTCAAGCTTATATAGATATCGCTAGCTGCTCTCTTATAGCTGCCTGGATTCACTCCAGTCTGACATGCATCGGAGTTTGGACTTATCGCCGTCCGCCCCCATCTTCTCGATGGATCTCTGGCCGATCTGGCCCTGTATCCTAGTGCACTAATAATCATGGATTGAGTAATTGCTCTTCATCCATGATAAATTGAAAGGATAACCGCCGTCGTCGAATTAAATTGGGAAGGAGATGAGAGCGAACTGCTGGGAAGGAACCAAACTCTTTGCCACGTGGAAATGCCCTGTGCAACGACGGAGCTGATCTTCGGAAATAAGGAGTTAGTACATACCTACTCAACGTGATGGGCGACGGGGTTCCCAAAATCGTGTTTCACATTTCGTACACACACATTCTATAATACAGTACATATCATCCAGATGATTCCAAATCAATCGCTATCCGCCCAAATCAATCTAATAGAAAAACAAAACATCGTGCTTGCTAATATCAACAATCCAACCCGACAGGAAAAGAAGAAGAAAGGAAAATCTAGAAGCTGAACAATCCACTGCGTCGTTTCCCAAACGGGTATACGATCAGCGCAGAGATAAACAGTCCGACCGTAATACCAATCGCCACCTGGATCATTCCAAAGCCTAGACTGGCGATCGACGTGTCCTGGCTAGTCTCGTCCACCGCCGACCCATTGCCCTTGCTGAGATTCTCGCGCACCTGATCAGCGTAGTTGATGCCCGCGATCAACGAACCACTGGACGCCAGACCCGACGGCACCAGCACGAAAATACCCGGGAGAATAGCCGTGGCCGCATGTCCGTGCCACAGTCGGCTGTACAGATTTCCGAGCAATCCAATCGTAAAGGCGCCGACGGTGTTGGCCACCTCGGACCGAGAGCCGAGCCGCGTCGTGCTGAAGAAGTTGGTGATGTAGCCACAGATGGCGATCACGATCATCACCGGCATTTGCTTCCACTTAGCTTGGTTGATAATGGCGATGAAAATCACAAAGACCGGGATGAAAATAAAATGCTGCACATACGTGCTGTCGTATATGTCCAGGCGCTTGCAGCTCTTTTCCGACGTCGCCGCTCCGTCTAGGAGTCCGTAGATGGTAGTGCCCACCGTGATACCGTAACCCAGGAACAGCGAGTAGATAATAGCGTAAACCATTCGGATCGACCCCGCGATCATCTGATGGGACTGCAGTTCCAGACTACTGCACAACACCATGAATCCCGGCAGGATCAGTGCGATCGAAGACTGCGCCAAGGCCGAAAAGCAAAACAACTTTTCTTCATCATGCCACGGCGACTTGATCGAGCCAAAAGCCCGAGCCAGGAACGAGGTCAGCACGGCCGCCGTGACTTCAAACACGTTAGAATACAAAACCGACCGAGGAGCCAAGACATGCTGCATAAGACCGACCAGGGATCCGAGCAGAAAGCAAATGGGCATGTCGATCGGCCGCGCATCAAAAGCGAAGGGGCCAACAGCCGTACTGGCCAGCCCGTACGCCGGAATCATAAGCCACTTGTTGAACCGTGGTGGCCGTTTCATGATATGACCCAATTCTTGAATTGCCTCCTCCACTCCAATCAAGTCATGGACCACGTTTTTGTAAACATTATGCGTTTCGGCGAGTCGACCGAGATCCACGCCTTGCACCATACGCACCAGTTTAACCTCGGCCGTGCGCGTGGTGGGATCGTCGAACGACATGATCATACATCCGGGTAGGTACAAGAACTGCCCGTCCACCTCCAGCACTCGCGCCGTCATCTGCATATACTCCTCCAGGCGGTGGGTGGGGGCGCCATATCGCATGAGGGCGCGGCAAAGCTGCATGATGTATCGCTGCCGCGCCAGAATCTCGGCAATATGCACCGTGACGCGAATCTCATCTTCCAAGCGCGTCTTCTGGTGCGCCTTCTTCTTGCCCCGCTTGGGTGTCGCAGCTGACATGGCATCTGCCGCAGCGGGCAAACTCGCTCGACTCATGTTTAGCGACGCTTCCACCAGGGACGCCGTCGACTGATGATTCGGCTTCTTGTACCACTTCAACTTTTCCCGCTTCGGCGTCGCGGCCCCCGAGGAGACCTCCGATTCACCATCCGATGAATCGGTCACTGACAGGCTATCTTTGCTCCCGCCAGCCTGCAGCTTCAGCAACTGCGACAGAATTCCTCCGCCGCTGATCGACCGCGGCCTAGAGCCGTACCACGAATCGGGACGGCCAAGACCTTCCGGAGTACTCTGACCTGACCGCATGTAGGCCGATCGGGGGCGTCGTCGGCGCATCTGGTTCTGCGTCATGCGGCGAACGAGACGGTGAGCTTCTGCACTGGGAGCCGGCGGCGTCTCGCTGCCACTGGGCATATCGATAACGTGTCGCGTTTTCTCTGACATGTCGTGGTGCGACATGCCTCCCTCCAGGTCATCTGGCAACAAGGACGCACCCAACGGATCGCCTTCGTCGAGAGGTCGACCCAGCCGTTCGCCGAGCCTGGTCGTTTTCCGGCGGATCAGATCACTGGCTGCATGCCATCGTTCCTTAGCCGTCATATGCTCATGATTCTCTTTCTCTTTCTTTATCTCGGACTCCTCTGACGTATCCGACGGGAAAGATGACCGAGGATTGGGGTGATGTTGCGCCTCCTCGGCCGGTTCAGGCTCGAATGAATTGGAGCGGAAGGCATCCGAGATGTCCGTCGACCGGGCGGCTGTGGGCAGAATGGATCGAATGGACTGAACGGACTGGTCGGAGTTGAATCGCGACATTGGCGGTCGCGCGATCGGACTCGGACTCAGCGTGTCATGGGTATTGTTATGGCTGATCGATTGAAAGCGCACGCGGCCGGCGCGAGACGATTCATTCTGGTCGTCGGCGCCATCGTGATGGTTGTCGGGTCGATCGGAATCCGAATGAGGGGACTCCTCGCGACTTGGGCCGGGGCCATTGTCTGGAGAACTCTGTTCTTCGTGGCTGTTGCGATGGCCGAGGAGCCCTGAAGCGCTGTCCTGGCGTGAATGCGACATGAGGTGAAGTCGGCTGCAGACCCACTAATGCAACCCACGAAGAATAGGGGAGATACAATTAAGATAAGAAATAAATTATATCAGATCGAGGAATCTAAAGAATAATGCCCAACGAAAGACAAAGACAAAAAGGGGAAGAAAGTATCCAAAATCGAAGGGAAAAAAAATAGAACGAAGAATTCACACGGATCAGGAACAGGAAGAACCGGAAAATAAGAAAGCCAATGGCACCGAGACAAAGGCGACGAGCGGACGGACCATGGGTGGGGAGAGGCCGCGAGAGGACGAGGTGCCAAAACGGCGCGACCACGGGACGAACCAAAAATAAGTCGGTCTAGAACGGGAGGATGAGCCGACAAAAAGGAAAGAGAAGAATAAAAATAAAAATTCGAAAATCGACTAGGACAATGCGTAGATGCGAGGGCAATCCAGGAGGAAGATCCAAGGTCTGACAGAGGCGGCGGGCAGAGGATAGGCCGATAGGAGTTTTAATCTTCGTCCGCGGCGGATTGTGGAATCAGCCGGGACACCTCAAGTCCTGAGTGCTCCCAGAGAAGCCATGACCTCATTGCGGTGGGCAAGTGGACAGAGGATGATTGGCAATGATCCCCGCCTGCGAAGAGACGACTAGTTGAACCAAGTGGAGCGGGCATGATGTGTCCATCGGGGATGGATGGTCATCGCTATCACGATGATTTGATTTGCAGATGGCGCTACCGATGCGAGACAGCGAGACGCCGGGACGTCATCCGGCAGGGGGCATTGAGGATGGCATTATCCTGGATGGGATAGATAGATGCAAGTTGAAAGCGAGGATGGAGGAAGAGAGACAAGAGAAGGGAAGGGAAGAAGGAGCCGAGGAAACCAAAGCCATCAAACATGGTGCCTGAGGACCCCAGGCATCACTGCTGACTCAGGCATCCACGCAACTCCGTGGAGCCGGTGGCGAACCTGAAGGACTCGTACTCTCTCCATCCATCACCAGCCGATCTCAATCCCTCTTCTCTCTTGCAAGAACCCTCAGAGAATATCACATTCTGCACGCGCACCGCACGGTCGATCGTCAGTCAGTGGCGCCCATACGGAGGTCCCTCGACCCAAGGGGAACCCTGGCGGTGGCGCTCAGCGTGTCTCGGCACCGCGGCTTCTAGACTTCGCCAAAGTCTGGAATGAACTTTCGTCTTTCGTCTTTCACCCATCCAAGGGCGCACGCCATGTGGCCAATTTATTTTTATTTTTTTATTTTTTCATTTTCTTTATCTATTTTACTTTCTACGGAGTATTGTTTTCCTATTCCAGCGCCTGGATACGATGCATTACTCCGGAGTACACCATCCACAAGAATCCCCCTTCCCTTGCAGAAACCTGGCAGATAAATTGGACTCAGCATCCGGAATTGGCCGCCCTGAGCGTTGCGTTCCCTTACACTTGTTGCATTCTATTGCACGGAGGCGACGATTGGATTGGGACCTCCAATGGGGTCCTCATTGGCGCCGTGCTAACTGCTAAGTTAAGGCTCTATATAATCGGCCTTTGCCAAAGTGAAAACTCGATGGCTTGGTCTCCACATGTCAAATCCTATGATCAACGGGGACAGAGTCCAGCGTCTACAGTGCTGAGTGGAAACTAAAATATTTAGTACTGGTTACGGAATACACCGACACAGTAGGAAAGAACTAAGAATCAAGAAACAAATTCTCAGCCGCTAATTCAACACAGTACAAGTTTCAGTCTCGCAGTCTCAGTTCTACTCCTCTTCAGCACGGCCTTCAAAGATAAATATATCCGCCTGAGTCTGGTCCATCCCGAAACCGATCGGCAGGGATCATCCCGAAAGTCCATCCAGTTCCGTCCCGATCCACTCCAGT